AGCCAGAATGGGGTTGAAACTTTCACAGGTTAGTAAGTTTTGTATGTATCGATCTGGGAATACTGTCCCAAAATTAACAAACGACGCGACGCGACGTGTCGTTCTCACTCATGGCCTTAGTTCAAAATCACTTTACTTAAGTAGGTTTTTTTTTATTTTTACACTTATTTAGGGTTAAGTAGGTTGTGTATACTAAGCTAAATAAGTAACTATAGATTTTTAACTATCCCGCGGAAACTCCTTAATTTTCCGGGATTAAAGGTATCTAAGATGTTGACCCGGGATGTAAACTACCTCCATGCATAATTTAATTTAAATCAGTCCAACAGTTTCGGAGATTAGCATGTACAAATAGACAAACATACAGAGAAACAATAAAATTAAAAAAATCTAAATGTGTCCTATTTCACTTCTAACATTCCTAATAACTTCTGACTCGCTTTTCGGCGTTTTTTTTCTATGAACAGACATTCGACTCTACTGTTTTATTATATGTATAATAATAGTAATAATAGATACGAACTTCCTTCCTATGTGTAATTCCGTTGTCTAAAATGCAAATAATCTCAATCTCTCTAAAGTGAAAACGGAAGAAACAAAGTAAATGACTAATGATAAAACGCTTAATGGAAAACCCTATATATATATAAATAAAACACGCGCAATGTTTACTATAACAATTGTTCATATAATATAATATAAATATCCTATTACATAATTATTGTCATGGTAAATACTAGATAGTAGCATTATCTTGTCTGTAACATCTTGTATCGTAGCAGTTACCTTATATTTTCTTAAAGAAGACGCCACTTCACTGATCTTTCTCAGGGTTCTAAATAGGTAAAACCTTTATAATACAATATAGCTAGGTATCATATTGGCGTAACTTTGTCTTGTAAGTAGAAACTGTATAAAATGTCTAATATTGTATTTAAAAACAAACAATACTATTATGGATACGACACAATGCAAATTATAATGATAATATCAAAAATTACCTAAAATATAATGAAGACATAAATGGCTATCCTATTAAAACGTTAATTATCACGTAGGCGATTAAGATTTCCTTCTATGTAAAGTAAGTACGATAGTGATACTATCAGTAGGTAGCAGATGCCTTACACAAAATTAGCGATATCCTATTTTGTATTATAGTTTACGGTTTGTTAACTTACAGAATATTTAATTAAATTATATATGGATATATGAAATGTGTGATTATCTAGCTGAAGACCTACTACTGGTGTATAAGCTATGTCGCGGTACATACTTATATATCCTACTACTATTACAATGTGGACATATGAAGTAGAGGCAGATAAATAAAAAGATGAGGAGATGATATTATCCTAATATCATCTCCTCATCTTTTTATTTATCTATATATCATATTTTATTTATTAGGCAGCAGGAAAAAGTTGTACTCAAAGGGCAAAGGACCGGATACAGTGGAAAAACTTGGAGGAGACCTATGTCAATTAGAAAAATTTGTAAATCTAAAAATTTACAGTAATAAAGACAATTATTATTATTATAATATGGAAGTGTTTACTGATGGTTGTTGACATTTAGATACACTAAACGAATTTCAAAGTGTTCCCGTAAAAGTATTATAGATACTTTTTATCATAATTCACTTGGGCAAGGCCACAGGATACAGTCAGTAATGATTATTATTTCAATCATAAGATACCAAAATCGTAAAGTCTACCTACTCACAATAAAATACACATCTATGATTTACGACTAGTAACTCAATAATATGTGTTGTGTTTCAAGTTTTTTTTAATACATAATACAGCGTCTGGAATGCCACTGCCAATGGCAAGGAACTCATAAAACGCTCTAATAAAATAAAGGATTCGCACTGCAGGGTGCCCAAACCACAGTGCTATGTAAGTCTGTCTATATAACTATGCAGCGTGCACCGCACTTGATGTGCAATACCTGTTTTTAGCTCAATAATCATAAGAGAAACAAATTCTACTTCACTCTCGGGCGCTATTGTAATTTATAAGACTACAAAATGAAAAAAACATTATACATTATTTCGCACTACTGAAGATCTTTTTTTTAAATTATATACCAACTTAATTTAAATATATAACATGCCCTGAACGTAGTGCTTTCACGACATAAAACAATAAAAATAACAGTGTAGAAGAATGAGCAAGGTGAATAATATCAATAATATTTTTTACATGCAGTATTATACATACCCTATTATACCCTTATTATAAATACTTACTACAAGGACAATACTTTATGATAACTTAGCAATTAAAAAAGTTGTGGAAGTTCGAGTATCTGCTGTTGCCATGCATATAATTTCCAGCATATCAGCATATCATACATACCTACAATAAAATCATAAAACAGTGATATAGCATAAACTGTTTGTATACGTATATATACATATATGGGTATACTTCACGTAAACACAGCTGGAGAGATTACTATAAAATTTTCAGTGAATATATTGTTGAATACGATGTATATAATATGAATCAACACATAAGCTAAATAGGGCTGAAAAATCTGAACAAAAAAGTGTAATAAATATTTTAGAAAACACCCAGACACAAACAAACATACTCATTAATATAAATATTTTTACGATACAAAACGTGCGAAAAATTGAATCCGCGACCATACGTAGCAAAGCGGTGGGTTAAACCACTAGACCATCGAGGTCGTCAAAGTAGCAAATTCATCTAGTAACGAGATGAATTAAATCCGCTATTAAAAATGATGGTACTTAAAGTTTAATACGTGAATAGTGTATCTTTCACAAACTGTGTTCACAATATACCGGATTATTTTTATAATGTGACAGTCTTTGTATATTGTGACAATTTTTATTCGACCTAAAGGTGAAATATAATTACATATAAAATAAATAACATCCCATTTAATAAATGTTAGCTCAAAATACAATGACGATGGTACAAATTTACTCAACTGTTTTACTTAGATGTAGGTGTATGTGTTATTGGTTTATGGTATTGAAACATGGTTCACGACGACTATAAAATCGTCATATCTGAACTAAATATCTTATCCATTACAGGGCTCATAGATGAAAGTAGACATGTGTGTTTTAAAAACTATATACTTATTACCTTGTATGTGATATTTGTAAAACAATCGCCACCATTATGTGCTAATACTAATTATCTTTCTAAAGAACTCTTATCAACATCTTAACTGAAATATAATCATAAAATGAGAGATAATCCATCATAATAGTTAATTAAACCATACAAATGAGGATTGTAAATGCCTGGAAAAATCCATAAAATATAATCTTAATAGGTTATAATATATATTTAATATATTAATAACTAGCATTGATTTATTTAAGCTATGATTGTTTCTCTTCGGGAGATAGACCTCAATTTGATCAGCACTCCAATCACCCAGTACATTACATAAATAGCATAAAAATATATAGATCTCTAATCCCTACAGAAAATATAAAGGCAATTTTATATTATTTTACTTCATGATATTTTGCAGACACATCCTTTTGAATACAGGACACAACAGATTACATTCTGTGATGTTCGCAGTGTTCAAATATACGGGGGACGGTAGACCATCGGATTATCCGTTATCTTTCAGTCAATCAATATGTATGTCGAAATAAGGAATGCATATATCGTTGAATATGACATTGAGTAGATGTGATTTAAATTTGATCTCTATGCGAAGTATAGAGTATACCTATATACAGTATTATGACTAGCTCAAATATTGTCATTATATATATAATAGTATAAATAAGTAAACGTTGCTCACATATCCTATTTCAAAATTTGAAAATGAACCTGTGTTATGGTAGGAAAGTACGAGACGCAATATGTTCTTGACTATAGAGAACACGTCTCGCATTACCACCGGTACCTTTCTAGGGCGGCCATATGTTTACTTCTGCTAATTGCCATAATGACACTTGACTGTGTTTAACCGCTACCACCGCCGTGCTGTTTGCTACCAATTGTAATTACATACCTCCCTCAAGGCTTAAAGATAAATATAGCCAGCAATATTTGTCATAGTAGTACTACCGTACATAATTATATATACTTATAATTATGATATATTGATAAAGTAGTATATTTTCTATAGTAATTCGCGTAGTGTAAGTAGTAAGAATATAGTAGTAGTCATATCATGATAAGTCTAAACGATATGTCAAAATCTAGATGGATGTTAACTTGTAAAGGTAATCTGATAATCCTATTAATTTATCTCTCAACCCAACCTGCATCATTTTAAAACAATTTCAGTTTACCAACAGAATAAAAAAGCAGGTGGTATCTAAGGCCAACTGTGGCTCTATACCTATAATAAATCTTGACCCTGTCGCGCCAGCGCGAAATCTACTTTTTATGGTCGAAGCCATAGCGGACAGATTCCTTGGCCGATATGCGCGAAGATTTAATTTATTGCTGCGGATGGAACATTTTTCAATGTTCGACGTTTTGTACTGAAATGAAAAACGGAACATCCTATATGTAGATATACGATTTCAACAAGAATTCTCTTCTTCATATTAGACCTATTTACCTATATTTTAAGGACTACCTACCTCATATAGTTTTAATATTCAATCGCGTAAATTTTTAATTATATTATTAATTAAATTCGTTTATTATATTCTAGAGAAAGAGTGAGGATTTTTTTACGAAAAAATAAACTGTTATCACTGCATCGATTTGAGAAATCCTTTCAACGTTTAGTCCGATTCCATACACTCTTCAATAATATACCTTATATTATTGCGGAGTGTATTGAATCCTAAAAAAATGAAACTACTTTTTATTGTACTCTTTGGAATTGGTAGTTTCTGTGGAATAAAATATGCTTAAGCAAAGTAGAGCAACGTGTATTGCTGTTTAAAAATGCTCTATAATGTACTGTTTTCCAAATACTTAACGGGCTTTTGCTTTATTTTCATTTGTCTCAAAAACTTTTTCTTTTCTTTATAGGCCGTCCGTAACTTTCATAACGCCCGCAATGATTGTGGAGCGGCACTATGCAGAGCGCCGTACACGAGAAACACCAAAATTGGAAACCACATCCTGCCACTATATTGGAACTATAAGGGGACAACCAGACTCAAGTGTGGCGATATCCGCCTGCGATGGAATTGTAAGTTATCTGTTCATAATTATAATGTTATGCATTAATATGTACCTAGTATATGGAGAATACGAATGTCTCCTTGTGATGATGAACTGTATTTTTTTAATACCTCGTATATAAAGATTTTTTAATCTCGTTTATATTCATCAAAAATAACCATAAATGAGTTGAGCTAACGAACAGAACAGAACTAACGAAATATGATAATCACATAATTACCGGTTCAGATGATTCTCTAAATAGAAAAATATACATTTAAGTAGGTTGTCCATACTGAGAAAAGAGATATACATGGCTAGTTTAATCAGTAGGTACTAATCAAAGATGTGAGATACGATGCTCCGCCGCCAGTAGGTAAAAGTGAAACCGATTTAGCAACGTTTGTAGAGAGTGCTGTTTCGCAAACTTGTGCACAGTTAATTGATTTCCGATTGTTTCCACACCCACCTGGCAATCTATTACTTTGATTTTCAATTTGTGATATTTAGAACGTTAGAGGGAGTGCACTTTAAATTTATACTGAGTTCTGAAATCGTTGTAAATATGTATTGGTAGATAGCTTCTTACTTGTGTCTGCGATTTTGTCCATGTCACCATGGCTAACCGGCTTAAATAAAGTATAATCATTTCCATCCCATAAGCAATATGTATGTATGTATTGTAAAATAATTTGTTTATGCATTGTAGCTTAATCATTAATAATAAGTACGTCAGTATTGTATTGTATTCACAAGTCTAGTCGAAATTCACTATGTGCAAAAATATAATTTTAAAGAAAAATATTATTATAACTAGGTGTAGTTACAATATTTTTTTTACCTCAATGATACAGTAGAAATAGCATAGTAATGATTCACTGATTAAACTAACGACAAATCTAAAGAAAAAAATCACAGCTTTGATTAGATTTGTTTTGATTTAGAAGACGTAGAATATATTTTTGATAGCTGAAAGTTTTCACTATAGTGTTCCTCTAGTTCCCCATTTTTAGGTGCTTTTGGGTAAGAAATACTTCCATCGTAAATACAATTATTGTGTGTACATACAGCGGTGTATAATAGATAAAGTAATTAATTACAGTCACCTGCAGCAAGATTATCATATAATCTTTAATTTTACATATAAAATCGTGACAAGGCGTAATATCTGTGTAAACATAAATGCTAGAAAAAATTGGTTTAAATTTTAACAGAATATGTGTGTTAAATACGGGTCAACATATAGGACAAATAAAACAGATAAAGAGAAAGGAATGCCCAATAGAAGGGATGTAATAATTGTTTTTGTGAATATCGCTTAATCGCTTAAGAGTACTTATAGTCCAGGAAGCGTTGTCACAATGGAGCATGACTGATTTTACATCTACATAGGTATATGTTCGCCGACCGATTTTATCTCCACCTGCTCCGACATCGCTCCCTGAGTTTAATGCCGTATGTAAGCCGTTTTAGAACTAGTAAATAAATCGCATACCATACACATCATATATTATGTGAGCCCGCGACTTAGTACCAGCATAACTTCTTAATATATGTTTACTAACAAAAAACTTAATAATAAATAAAACAAAATGTATATTTTAAGTGAAGCTTACCACAATATATTAATGAAATCCGCACCCAAATCGGTTAATTAGTTTTTGAGATTAGATTGTACAAACGAACAGACAGACAGATAAAAGTTTTAAAAATCATTATTTTCGTTTTTATTTCGTTGATAAAGTTCCGCAATAATAGTAATTCTTAGTTACATTTTTAGTATATGTATAGGTACACATATTCATTTATAAAACACCGCTAGATATATTTATAAATATGTATTCGTAGGTGTACTTGACCTTGAACATGACTGATAGGTTGGATACTAATGCAGTATATTTGCATAAATCATATACGCCTAGGTCATAAATTATAGTTACAAAAGTGGGCGTAGTTTTTCGTGTATATTTTCTAGTTTTATGTTTTGACATAAGTATATGTATTAATTAACAGTGGCACATTTATGAAGACGTAGGTAATCGATCATTGCAAAAAATAATAATATATCCGTACTAAAAAAATTTGAACGTGCATGTGGGTGTATAATTTTGATTATTCGTTTGAAACAAATATTTCTAAATGGCATTTGATCATGATAAAGGAATTAATTATAATACGAAGCGTCGAGACTCCGGCATCGCCCCGGCCGTTCCGAGGAATTCGCACCGAATCTGTGGTATATAAAAAACCAGTCAAAAGCATTTTGATTATACATTAATAGGGTTCGTATTTTACGTTATTAATTTCTGCAAATTAATAATGTAAAATACTAAAATAATGACGTTGGTCGATCTTCGTAGTGTCTCCCACACTTTCAAATAGACTCCGTTTTTATTACCCCGCTGAATAATATATTCTATTATAATAAAATATTTACGTCTAAAATATTATCCACTATAAACGTAAATATATCGTTTATGTGAAAGATGATGTCATAAGTAATATATTCATAACCCTATATCATTATATCATTACCATTACATAGTATAAAATAAAGTCGCTGTCGCTGTCTGTATCTATCTGTATGTATGCTTAAATTTTTAAAACTACGCAACCAATGTTGAAGCGGTTTTAAAGCGGGTTCGGTAAAATATTTGTACCTTGCAAGGCATTGAACCCATCACATTTGAAAATAAAACAGTGTTCAAACCACCACTAGATCACCATATCAAATATATATACATATATATGCAACGTAAGTACATATCTGCTATGAAAAAAAAACGGTTTAAATAAAAGAATAATTTAAATTTGCCATCTAGTAGAGAGCAAACTACATAGATTCAATTACGTGATATTATAAATATTTAAGTATAATCATAAATAATTACAACCGAGATGAACGGGCACTTCATTTGCCTCTTGTCCTACTTTAAGGGGGTCTTCCTATGTGATGGGTTGAAAAAATCGATTTTTTTTTTTCATAAATTGCTTCCTTAACATGTCTAGAATACGGTAGTAAAGCGATTTTAGAAAATTCGAAGTCGTTTTAAAGATACAGCAGGTAAAAGAAAGAGCGGTTCGGAGCGGTGAGTTGGCAGTTAGAGACCGGGCCTATTGTGTACCGTCGGCTTTATACCTGGCCTCCCTTTTATTAATATATTTGTTTATACAAGTTTAGACACGTTTCTACAGACTTAAACAGAAAAGGAGCAGGTAAACTTACTGATAAAGTTATCCAAGAAATTACAAAATTCTACGGATTAGCAATTCGACGCCATCCAGATTCGCTTGAAGATATGAGAAAGGAAGTTTGGGCAACGTACTATCACAAATGTTCTTCTGATGAAAACCCTCAACATCAATTTTGTCCAGAAGGCGAAGACAGTTAGTGTAAATGGCGTAAGGCTGAAGCTAATAATGAACTGGACCAATTTCATCACGATAAACCACCTCTAATTCCGCAAGTCCAAGAAGCTATCAAACCGGTTTTCGAAGATTTATCGAAAGACGAATTATTAATTCGTTGTTTAGGAGCAGAGACACAAAACAATAACGAATCTTTGAATTCTTTGATTTGGACTTTCGCTCCTAAACATCTTCATTCTGGTCCCAAAGTTGTTGAAATTGCTAGCTACTTAGCAGTTATTATCTTTAATGAAGGTTTTCAAGGTATTTTAAAAGTTATGTCGATTATGGGATGCCCTGTTGGTCGTGAAGCCCAAGCGTATGTTGAGAAACGGGATGAAAAGCGAATCTTACGCTCTGAGCGGCGCGTAAGTGATGTCGTTAAACAAGCCAGGATTGACTCAAGAGCTGAACAATCTGCTTTAAAAGAGTTTCACGAGGAAGAGGAAGGAATACTCTATGGACCAGGCATCGCCGATTGAGAGTAAGTTGATATTTTAATAGTTTTTAACGGACTTGAAACTTTAAACGCGTTTTTCTCAAAACTGTGTTTTTCAAACTTTCCTCCATTGTATCTCAGAAACGGCTGGACCGAATTACTTGAAATTTACAGGGCACACTCAATATATGTAAACGCATGGAATGAACTATTATCAATCGAAAATTTTCAAAACTTCGATTTTTTTATAGCAAAAAACAAAAAAAAAAAACGCCTAATTTGCAACTTTTATTTCAAATGTCTATCAAAAATCCAATTTTTTTTATATTCATTTGATTATAGGTCATTCCGTGCTTTTAAGCCTACAAATTAAAACGCCGTTTTTTTTTTTTTTCAGATCAGCCGATCAGCCGGAATCGTGGAGGAAGTGGGAGCTCTTTTTTTCGAGGCGGGGGTGTTCAGAGCGCTGTAACTCTAGTTTGACTGAATATTTTTAGCTGAAATTTTATATTTATACTGTCCAAATATGTGTTAATAAATGATAAAAAACTTGAAGCTCTAAATATTTACTGGTCGTAGAAAAAAAATCCTAAAATATCCCTAAAAAACAGGCCGTCACATAGGAAGACCCCCTTAAAAATGTAATATTTAATTACCCTCACTAAATATAATATTTAATTTCATGCACATCAAGACCTCTATTATATTATCCCATTTATTTTATTGAGTTTTTGTATTCAGTGCATCAGTATAATAGGTGGGTTTCATAATTTATAACCTCTAGTGTTCTTCTTATGCGAATTATAATGACGTTATTATTATTTTTAGAGGTCCAAGGCAGATCCAAGTAAAACGTGCTATTCTCAGTGACCTATTTTATAGAAACTAATAATATCAGTACAATAATAGATTTTGTATTATGAATACAATACCTAAAAACTAATCTTGTGTAGTACATATACTGTATAGATTTTAAAAATTAAAATAATGATAGGCTGATTATATAACTATCATACAAAGTCTGGCATCTCTTTGTTTGAAAATAAAATTTCGCCACGGAATCGACGGCTTGAGGCCAACTCGTGCTTCACAATTTTTTTTCAATCTAGTTAACAGTAACCCGCCCCGACTTCGCACAGGTATTTCAAATAATTTACACAAAACCTTAACGAGCTATACACCTAAACTTTCTTAAAAATTACTATTGATATATAAAAAATCTATGAAAATCACTTTATTGGGTTTTGAAACTATCGCGAACATACAAATAGTCGGGGCGGCAGCCTTTGTTTTATAATACGTATAGATTGAAAGTATCGACTTAAATTGATATGTTATTTTAAATTGACTTAAGTTAGAAGTGTGCCCATATTAGCTCTGGAACCGGTAACCAAGGTGGTTCTTCATTATAATGCATTGAAACATCAATTCACCGCCTAAAGCACATAAGATCCACTTGACCGAGGAGGCACCTGTTGGAAGCCTTAAGTGGAAATATCTGTAATATGAACGTTCACTTTCTATAAAAGCGACACAGAATTAGAAATCGAAATATCTCTACAAAAAGTACATTATTAATTTGTATTGATTACCTACTTATCATTTTCTCTATACGAAGTAAATATTTTATTTACTAAATCTTCCAAAGACTTTGAATGAAACTGAAATAAAAAGGACAATTCTTCTATACACATTACCTTGGAAATTAATATAATAAGTAGGATGTTTTATTTATACTTTTATTACATTCTGAACTTTGAGTTAATTTAAAACTAAGATATGACAGTAAGGCTCGACGTTAGTACCGCGTACTAAAATATTAAATGTGCAATATAGTTGGTCGTAGTATAGTTACTACAACAAACGCATAAAAACAGCATCCACAGTACAATTTTAACGTGCGCAGATAGTAAAAAAAGTCTAACTTTTAATAAATAATGAAAGATTATTTCTATTCATAAATAATAATGCCAAATGTTGACTTCACACGGTATCGTAATATTAGAACATTATCAGGTGGTCACTTTAGCAACAAGGAACTGACTATTAATTATTAATTAATTAATTAATGGCTCTAGTAATTTTGAGTAGTACTCGTACCTCTTACGACTTTCGTGACCGGTCCTTCAAGGCCGCCAGCAATATACAGGCTAGCCCCCTTGTACTAACTGCTACGTAATTACATAGATCACGTTGTTATCTATATAATAGGTCCTCTAGGTATGAGTCACTATTATATTATTTAGAGATGGGATTAAAACAACGGTAGGCTCGCCCCTATCATGTTGCATTCGAACAAAACGAGCGAAATGTAAGTATCACCGTAAGATTATAAACTCCCGTAAAATATAGTCGATCTCGTGAGATTTTATATTATAGACAAATTATGAACTGTAGTTACTGCTTTCGTATTACTTTTCAGTAGTACTGTACCGTAAGCTCTACATGTAATACCACTAAATTAAATACTTGATCCCAATTAGCACGCTCAGCTCCATGTCATCTTTACCTGTCATTCTCGAAATTTAGTTACAGTCTAATGATGACATGAACATATTAAGTGTTATATTCGTTACGAATTGACATCCCAACATAATTGACAATGTCTCTGACAACCGTATCTGAAATAACAGTCGTGAAGATGTATTATCTTTATTATGTACAGTAATAGTAGTATTATTATTTGGCCAGGTCATTGGGCTTCCCAAAATATCAAGCACAGTGATGACAAGTTCATCCGTACTGATAAACGAGCGCTGCTTAAGGACTTGTCAGCACTAATCTCTACGACTAATTTTCTCAATCAGCTGGTTGTGTACATATCTAGAACAAATTAGTGCTATTTGGTAGTTTATATTCATAAATTAAAAAATATAAAGTTATAACATTGTTTGTTTAAAAGAGCTACACGCAAGTTTCTTGCTCATACTTCTTGTGAAGAGACAGCTTTCCGAATTAGTGATAGATATATTCTAAAAAATTAATTAAACAAATCATTTAAAAACTGCACTAAAATTATTATTAATAATATAGTGGATATATATCGAAACAATAATGCTAGATCTCCATTTCGATAAAATAGTTTGTATTAAAATTTGCTCATAGCCGCCACTGATTTATTATCAATCAATTTATCTAATACCGCCAACCCGCCAACAAATAGACAGGGACAGAAGAATTGTTGCCCCGCTGATCACTACCGGTTTAGCACTCAGTGAATGATTAGTCAAAATTTCAAAATATCCAATAGTATTATTTCATTTTGTTTGTATTTTCCTATTGTACTCTATTATGTATTGCTGTATGTAAAATATGCAACATAAATATATTAAAAGAATATTGAAAAATACTACAGCATACATTACTGTATGTTAGTATATTAGTTTTAGTTAACTTTATATTGTTTAAGAATTATTTCCAGTATCTGTAATATTCACGTAATAGTATCTGTTGAATTCATTTTTATTCTATATTATATTGCGTTCAGTGCAAAGCATTCTCTCTGTAACTATATGGACTTTATTTTATATAAAGAATAGAATAGAATATCATTTATTCAAATAAACTTACATTGAAGCACTTTTGAATAGTCATTACATTTTTTTAATCTACCGCTCATTCAGAAAGCTCTCATTCTCATCACAAGAAGAACGAGCAAGAAACTTGCGTGTTGCTCTTTTAAATAATTTTATTATTACTTTACATTTTTAAGTTTAAGTGTGTGAATACAAACCACCAATTAGCATTAATTCAATTAAATACTCAAATAGAAAAAATATTGAATATATAACCAACTGGTTAAACAATCAATAAGAGGAAATCAGTCATAGTGATTACAGCAGACCAGTCCCTGCAAGCAGCACCCGTTCACGAGTATGACGGATGAGCCAGCCATCACTGCGCTCGACCATATTTTAGGGAGCCCAATGACCCGGCCCACCACGCCGCCACAAGTCTGGACATTTTAGTGAGCATGACTACTCAAAACACGTCAAAGCTACTTACAATTGCCATCTGATAGTTATAGTATTCACATTTTACATAAGAATGCATGCGGCAATCAATACAAAAACCGCTACGCTTTTAGTGAACCTTTACGCGGTGAGGATATTTGATTCTTTAAAGCACTGACGTAATGACTCTCTTGAACCCATACCATAAATAGAACGTATGGCTCTCTTTTGTAAAATAAATATAATATTTATATCGGCTGCTTTACCCCACTGCAGTATGCCATAAGACATTATGCTATGGAAATAACTAAAATATACAAGTTTAGCCGTCGTCACGTCTGTTAATTGCCTAATTCTTCTAATTGCATATGCAGCAGAACTGGGTCTACCGGCCAATTTTGAAATATGGGGCCCCCATTGTAATTTCGAGTCTACTGTCATACCTAAAAAAATTATGATTAACAAAATTTACTATTTCGTCATTAAGCAATAACTGTGTATTTATTAGTCTTACATTAGGAAGTGTAAATTTTATACACTTTGTTTTGCTGGAATTTAATAATAGGTTATTACATGTAAACCAATTTAATATTGCAGACATTGCGCAATTTACATCCTCTAATTGATTACTTTGATGTCCAATTTTAAACACTAACGAAGTATCATCCTCAAACAGCACTATATCTGCAATTTTCTCTACCATAAAGGGAAGGTCATTTATGTAGATTAAAAAGAGAAAAGGGCCTAAGATTGACCCTTGTGGAACGCCCATTTTAATATTAGCTCCCTTAGATTTTACACTGTTTCTGTTTATCTACAGTTTGGACCCTATCCTCTAAATAAGTTCTCATTAATTTTAGATCATTATCTCTTATACCATAATGTTCGAGCTTGTACAAAAGCGTTTTATGATCCACGCAATCAAATGCCTTTGATAGGTCACAAAAAACTCCGAGTGCATCCTGTGACTTCTCCCAAGATTCGAAAATATGTGTCATTAGCGCTACACCTGCGTCAGTAGTAGATTTGCCTGCGGTGAAACCATATTGCTGACTGTGAAGCAGTCCGTTAACCCTGAAGTATTGTAACATTTGATTTAACATTATCTTTTCAAACACCTTACTTAGAACTGGCGAAATAGATATAGGTCTATAGTTCCCTGGCTCAAATTTATCTCCTGATTTAAATAGTGGGATTATTTTGCTAAATTTCATTAATTGTAGAAAAATGTCATTATCAATACATTTATTAAAAATAGTGGCTAGATATGGAGTAACAATAATTAACTAATGAAAGATCTAACTACTTTTACAGACATGCCCCAGAGGTCTTCCGTATTTTTTAAATTTAGCTGTTTGAATATTTTTATGATATGAAAGGGGCTAACATGTGAAAATTTAAATCTTAAAGAACAACAACCGATATTAGTCTCTAGTAATGTTTTTGCTCGAGATGGAGATGAGTCCAGAGAAGATGTAATGTCCATCGGAATATTAGCAAAAAATCTTCAAAAATATTAACTACATCTTTTGTTGTTGTTATTAATTTATTACCATAATTTAATGTAAATTGATTACAGGCTATTTTAGATCTTCCAGTTTCTTTATTTATAATGCTCCAGATGGTTTTGATTTTGTCAGAAGAATGCTTAATTTGTTTATTAAAATAATTAGATTTAGCCAAAATACAAACTTTTTTAAAAATTTTAGAATAATTTTTCACATAAGTGGTGAATTTGTCATCAAATCGATATTTATTGATCGTATGAATCAAACAAAATATTTCTACTTTTAAGTATTCATACTGTTGCCTATTCCGTGAATTTAGATTTAATATGAACTTCTTTTTTCTTGAAAAATTGTTCATATTCTCCTGATATATATAGAATGATTAGACTTAAGAGATATATATATATAGAATGATTAGACTTAATGTATAAATAATACCATTTGTTCACAGGCTGGACATTTACGTACTGAGTATGGAGAATACTGGATAGAACCGTCAAATAAAACTTCCGTTAATGGTTCTCTAGGTAGACCACATGTAATATTCAAAAGATCGGCCGTAGACAAAGTCAAAGCTTATCACAGAACAAAAAGAGATATACACAGTCAATCAGACGCGCATATTTCGTGTAGTAAAAGTATGCTTGAACAACATTTGAAACGTAATGAACATACAAAAAGGAATATTGAAGACAGAAAAACATTAGAACGCCATAGAAAAAAATATATAAACGGAATAGAAGAAAGGCGAAGACGACTTGAAGCTTTGAGACGAAATCCTACTGAATATCGGAGACAACAGACTAGATTACGAATGGAACAAAGGAGACTAAATAACTTATCTAAAAGTTATTCTTCACAATCAAGTAAGTCCTTCGAAAACTCTGTAGTAAGAAACAAAAGTCGAAATAAGTTAAACGAACCAAGATTACGACGTAAGAATAGACGAAGAAGAAATAGGCGATCAAAAAATTGCGCAACGAAGCAACCACCATACCAATGGAAAATTAAAAATTTGCAAAGGCATGAGATTGAAGAGCATAAATCTAAGACTTTTAAGGTACGATTATTAATATTTATTATTTTACAGGATTTCTTGTAAATAAGGCCAGAGACTGAAGCGATTAGTAGTCATTTTAACACAAGGATTTATTTTCATTTTAGCACTCTCATGACGGTGATATAAACCAATTCAGTGATTTTTGTAAATGCTCGTCCTAGAGTTATAATCTCCTCAATAATTAAAAAAACGTTCCAGGATTACAAAAGATATCAGCAACGTACACAATCACGTTATAGTAATATGGAAGAATCAAGGCGAAATACAAGGTCCGTCAGTAAACCTAGACATGTAGAGGTGCTACTTGTCGCCGACAAAACTATGACAGATTTTCACGAAAAAGCCAAATTACAGGAGTATCTACTTACAATAATGAACATGGTAAGTTATGAATAAATAAATTTTATGATTAAAAATAACATTTCTTTATCAAATTAATGGTGTCCTTTTTTACAGGTGTCTTCGTTATATATGGATCCCACTATTGGCAACTACATTAAGATAGTCGTTGTGAAAATAATTCTTATTGAAGAAGAACACACGAATTCTAAACTGTCAGTGTCTTCGAATGCGGACATAACTCTAGCATCTTTTTGTAACTGGCAACAACAACAGAACCCTTACAGTGATAAAGACCCACATCATCATGATGTTGCAATCCTTATTACTAGACAAGACATCTGCAGTGTACATGACGCTCCTTGTAGGTATGATCTTAATTAATATTTCGTCAATAGACTAATATTTACGTATATTTTCTAAAAGTCATTTCTAATATAAATTTTAAATGAATTTGTAAATTTAAATACTGCCAAGAATGTCAAACAAACTAATGGGCCATCTGGTGGAAATGACTTACATACATGAACAATCCTATAGACATTATAGATGTTACTCCGCACATTTGTCACTGAAGATGAGACAATAATTAAAATTAAAATAGAAAATACTATTAATAATTTATATGTCATCTAGAGAAAATACTATTAATAATTTATATGCACCGTTAATGTATGATATAGTATAAATACACATATAGCTATATCTGTATTGAAAATACATCCGTTCAATTAATTCGTTTATTTCGTTCGTCACATTTTTACAGTCCTAGTGCTTTACTTATTTCATCTGATAATTTTTCTGCTACTAGTGCAACAATTTCCACGCCTGTGACTGGTGTTTATTATCAAAATAAATTGAAATGCCACGAGATGGAATTCTTAGTCTGATCTTTACCACCTGCAAAAAAGATTCTTGCCAATAAATAGATACAGTTTATTTATTCTAGATTAAAATCTATTAATGTAATATGTTTTTTATGTTTTATCAATTTAAATTAATTGATTAGGTATATAATTAAAATCACGAATAACGTAATAAATAAGAAGATCAAAATCAAAACTAGATTCTGATTGAAGTTAATGTAGGTATCTACAAAAATACTGTATTATAATTTTTTTATCTTCATTTTCTTTTTTACATACTCGAATCCAGTAATGGAATGATCTACACTGAATGATCTATACAAAATGAATGAAAACATTATCGTAATTCTATTTCAAATAACTGGCTGCATTATACGACTAATTATAAATTTAACAAATATGTATTACATTTTAAAATGTTGGTCATATAAAAAAATCAATTCAATAGTAAATAATAATCAATAATCAGCAGAAAGTTCAATAGACGGCGGCGCCTCAGTGTCTACTGGGCAATACAACTGCTGTAAATAAATAAATACATTCACAAACACCTACATAATACGATGAGTTTGTCGTGCCGTCTGACGGTAAATGTCTTGAATTGAATACTTAATGAATAGTCAGTCTATTTTGGATATAAAACCGGTACTGCTGATGACTACTGCAAAATTATTTTATATGAACATCCAGTTTTACACATAGTTGAATATTAGAACAGAGACCAAAATAAGTGAAATATAAACTACTGAATGACTGATGTCTAAATAACCTTTTTCCTCTATTAGTAAAATAATAAATTATCTATTGTATTATTTAGACAATGTCTGATAACGTTAATTTAGTTTATTTTTAGTTATTTTAGTTTTGCTGTTCGTCAGCAACGTCTATGGTTAGTATACCTTTAGAGGTGACGTAAATTTTTAATAATAAAATGGGAGGCAAAGATGCTCAAAAGTGAAAGAATAAATTCTGTGCCAAGCCACCTCGACAACATCATGGTAATACCTATACTAGAATTCCAATTTACATTGATATTATCAACTTAATGCTCTGTATAAATATGAACTCAATTGCTCAAGCAAAGGGTAGACAAAATACCGTTTACCTCATTATCACTTTTTTGCGTTTATTTGCTGATCACATATAGCAATAGCAGTTCAATCAAAACAAAGAGCGGACATTAAGGCCAAGGACGGTCAGTGTGAACTTATGGGTGTTCATAATTTTGACAAAAGCTTCAGCCGTACAGACTTGCGCAAGTAATTACGAGCATAACATTTTTGGTCATGTGAAGTTTTGTCAATTGCATAACGTGTGGCATTCATTCATTCTTGATTGTAAAAAATATTGTATCTACCTACTGTGTGCTTAATGAGCATACTCTTATGGTAGCGGTACTTTATTTCATGCAACATTGTATATAACGACATCTAAGAAGAATGTAGGCATTCTTATCAACAACTTTATGCATCCCAAGTATTTGTATATGTAGGCATTCTCGAATGCACATATGTACTTTGTTAATCTTTCGTTGAATTGTCGGTTCGACATAATGTGTTTATTTCAACAAAACATTAGCGCCGACTGGCCTGTGCAGGCGCATGCGGTCCGCATAGCCGATTCTGATAATAAACAGATAAGATCTTATGTAATTCTATGAGCAGATTACGTGATTATTTGTTTTATATTTGTTATTTTCCAACGTTACCAAGTGTTACTAATAGACAGATCGTTTAAATTTTTTAGGTTAACTTGTTTCAGTTGCTAACTGACCTACATTTGCCAAAATTACATATTATGTATTTAGTCAAATTAATTCTCGGATAAATCTAATTGATCATTATAAAAGAATGAATGCCTAAACAATTTTTTTTGTATTATTAAAATATTAAATAAATTTTCGATTTACAAAGCAAAGTTTCCTATCGCCGCTATAATGTAAGAAACTCCTACTAACTCCTAAAAGATTGCAGCTAGAGAATTGAAATCGAATAATTCAGTACATTAGTTTTTATACAAAGCACGTATGACCAAAAACGAGTGTGTATCGAATGCAATGAGGAAATATGGTGCCTTCGGAAAACGGTACAAACAAGTAGTCGAATGTTGTTTCGTGGAAGGTGGCAATCAAAAGACAATGAGCATGTTGGTAACGGTGTTGCGGTCGAGGGCTCGGCCTGTGGCGGGCCGTGCATCAATGCATTATGCATCAGCTACTAAAAAAACATGAATGCAGTCACAAATATATAAATATTTGCAAACGAATATTATTGAAGATTAAATATGATTATATTAGCCAGTACAACTTTATATTTTGTGAACATCATTGCTCAACGGGATTTTAAATTAATAATGAATAAATATGAAAGCCATAGGTAATTACTACACACACATAAACACTATCCGAGTTTTTTGTTCCAAGTAGTAAGTATACTGGAACATAAAACTCGAATAGTGAATAAAATAAAATATACTTAATTAAATATTCAAAATAAAATACCTATAAAATATTATGTTATCTGTGGTTATAGAAATACGGAGGTAAAATATATGTGAGATAGATATGTACTGATACCGTAGATGTAATCAAATCACAGATAAGCGGTAACTAATCTACAGTGAAAAACTGCCCAATTCGTAGTAGGTATCGGCTCGTACAAAAGGGAAGCCGTTAAGATAACGGAGTCTGTTAATTTTGATTTAGTCGCGTCGGTCGCCGTCGCCGCCACGCAGTCTCGTGTGTCATGCAATGCGGTGCTTATCTTTACACTTTTTATTATACATAAATACACACTTAAGCTGACTAATTCACATAACCCTCGGTCAATATATATCTATTTATTTTGCCAAATTTTGCCTATAACTTCATCACTAAGAATAATAGCTTATTCTTTGTTTAAGAATTTCTCATTGGTCATGCTCTGTGCATATATGTCTATAGATTTCAAATAAATATTTTAAGAACTACATTTATTTAATCAAATATATATTGTACAAGTACAAATACTAATTTTACAATATCAACCAGTATTTCGTAATAGTTTTGTTTAAAATAATCGTACAAAATAATGATTTGATTTATTAAGTGTTGTTTAATGTATGTAATTGCAACCAACGAACCATTCAAAGAAAAAACAAAATTACTGTTACTATCACAGCTACCATCACATTCATTCTTTAAATTAAAGTTAGGAATGGCTTTTAAATTCCTGAATTAAAACTATTGTAAATACTGCAGACAACAAATATAATGTGTAAAAATATATACAATCTGTCAGGAATTATGTTAGCTATAACGAAATTTTTATAATTAAGAAGTTTTTATACAAAACTATTATCACTATTATACATACCTACTCCAAAAAAGATAAAACCAATGATTATTACTAACACTGCTTACTCAATATGCGCTTATAGTGAATGGCCGGCAATTAACAGGCGTCAATTATGTATTTTTGAAGTTTTTCATACCAATTATACCAATGAATGTGCTTGGCCCCTTTTGTATGTAATTATTTACCGAAAATGGTATTGAAAAGTTGTGAAAACGTTTAACTTTATCCCCATATCGACTTTCTCTGTTCCGTTTGAAGACGCCGACCGAAGCGAGTCAAGAGACTCCTTGCGATTGTTCATGGTCAATTAACATTTTACAGTTTGGATTGTTCGTGCGGACGGTGTCCTCTTAGTAATTATGCACGTATGCTACTAAATAATTCAATATATTATCTCTCACTTAAATCAAATCTTCTTCTTCAAATCTTGTAAGTAACAAATCAGTAAATTTTACGCTTTGTGTTACACACAGACATATAATCAAATTATACTATCGAACGGATTTTCTTTTTATTATTGGTAACTGTTATAAAATTACTACGATTAATTGAATGGTTTAGTCTAGTATCATGTTCTTGAATATTTCTAATATCATATTAGAAATATTGAAGAATATAAACATTTTTAGATACACTAGAGTTTCGGAATAATTGTATTGTAAAATTGGTTCAATATAAAAATGATATTATCTGAAACAAAACTACGATCTTACAATGACATTTCAATCATCTAAATGTTCCGAGTCAGAAGGATACTCAATCGAATTGCGGCGTGTAGTTAGTTTAATTTAATTTAAAAATATTTTTAATAATTATTATTACTATATATAGGTAGTATTCTGACATAACTCCTTTTTAAAGACATCCTGGATAGCCCATGGTTCAATATAAATAACGAGCGCAAAGTGAATGATGGGTCCCATAAAAGGAGAATGACAATTGAAGCATCATATTAGTAAACGTAATTATTTTCCAATTGATGTCCATTACAAATTAAAGAATTACGCTACACCTGTTCACTCGAGGATGACCTCTAAATTTATGTAAATGTGGACGTTGACCGTGTCAATTTTATTCAACATTAACGTTACTTATTGGAAACTAGTTTTATATTCTCGCCGATACAGTACTCTTTGCAATATGTTAAAATATTTTTTTATTACATAATGTAATAAAAAATGAGTATTTATCGCTGGATACGATGTTTATTAGTCTCAATTTACTGCAGTACTAATAAAAGTTTTTGATTGTTACTGGTAATTAAAAACTCAATACTAGTAAGTATACATAGAAAACACATAAACCAAAACAGACATCTAAACTTATGAATAAAAATATTTGTTTTGTACGGCAATCAAACCCACGACCAAAATAATGTTAGCGTGTCTAACCAAATAGATACCAAAGTCATTGGTCAAAATTGTACACCTTCTTTAAATATATATATTTATTGAGATAATATTTTGGTGAAAACATTGTGAGGTAAAAAAGACATCAACGCGTTAAGTTTCAAAAATATTATTATAATATTCTGTCACATTTAAAATATAAATTACATATATTTTTTAACATTATCCCAATTACCTCTTGTCTATTTATATTTTTTATTACATACTATTACATCAGTACTTACTTTATTTTTCGTACTTTAATATAGCATCTCATATCTTTATCTTGTATATTTACATAGCAAACATATTATTCTAGAATGATATCGGTATATTCTATAATATTCCTACTTATAACCAACTATAAATATGCAGAAATAATTCTGAATATTGTAAAACGCAAACGTATTCGACTTTCTGTGTACTATAATATTTTATTTAAAAAAAAACTCAGTAATAAATAACCACAGTATAATATTTTACATTGGCTCCATAATAACAATAACCACGAGATCACAGGCGAGAAAGTAACGTACGAGTAAGTAGGGAAATATATAAATAAACCGTAAATCTTTGTTTAACCAATCACCGTTTGTCAAGCACTATAGATTTGGCACACTTTAATAACATGAACTGCATCAACTAAAAAAAAACAATTACTGAAATCGGCTTTAATATTAAACAATTAAAGTTGATTTCCAATTTTTATTGCAATTTAATAATAAGGATTACTGGTAGGTTTATATACCGATATGTTGAATTTATTGCAAGGAATTTATAGAGCTTTTCATCGGCTTCCGCGTGGGCATGAGTCAGCGGCGTGTATTATTATTAGCCGCCTATTCCCGTGCGTCTCCGCCAAGTATAGGACCGGCGCGGAGCAGTGCAGACGCGGCATACATCTGTTTCTATCCCACTTGATACTAATGTATTTTATATTTCTATATTGTTTTACTATATGTTTAGTCATAATGTATTTTAAATGGACGTGGGCAGTAATTGTTTCCAACTCTCTGAACGTGAATTGCGAGTGGTTTAAAAATATAGACATGTAATATGGTCACAATTAATTCATATTTTTAAATATGACAATAATTATTTTTAATCTTTCGTGTTTAATCATTATTTAAATTGGGTCTTAAATAGGTAGTAAAAAAAACTGCTGGCCGGTAGGTGCTACATTGTTACTCCAGTCAGCTAGTGACCACGGCTAGTGCAATCTAGTCGAAACGACGAAAGATGTTAGTGACCTTTCCTTTATTAGCCATACAATTTTTCGTGGTAAGATCCAATTAACTATACAAACAATAATAACTCTTTTTCTCTCTCTTTTTCTGTTACTACCTATAGAATATCTACTCGTGATGGGGTCAGCTTTTCTTATTTATCTTCGCCACTTACCATGTCCTGGACATCTCAGATATACAATTATACTATTCTAAAATAAATTTTCCGATTATTAATTAAAATAGTTCATTTCTTTACGTGTGGTAGAATAGATCAAGTGTTATATCATTTCCATATCTATACATATAAATAAAATTGTAGTATCTGTTTGTAATATTGAAATAACCGTTTTTTACTACATGCATATGAATGTAAATACGGTACACAAACGATTTATTTCTTGCTTTTTGCAAACCGGATAATTTATAAGCCTCAATCAACGTGAATGAATTATATTTAGTACTTATTCCATATATAATGCCATGATACCATATTATACATAAACGGTATTTTAAACTTGATTATAAACTTGTAACATGTTGTAGTAAGTAGCTTCTTAAAGTTGTTTATTATAGTTTCCTTACTATATAACATAATTTGCATTGTATTTGATACTAAAATATTATTCTACGATTATATATCCGTTATTTAATAAGTATAATAACAACCTTGGACGATACACATAGTGCCATCTAGTCCCAAGCTAAGCAGATCTTGTTATTAATACTTGACAACTGATATAAATATTTTTTTTTGTAAATAAATACACAATATACATAGAAATCACCCAAACAAATTCAAACAATAATAATAACTCCTAAATACAAGTGTGCGATGTATCTAACACTCGACCATCGTAAGTTATGGAGGTGTGCTAAACCGCTACACCATGGCCGTCAAATATTCAGATGTTAGGTTTATGTACATAGACCATTCCAGCGGATTCAGTATATAGTACATTTACAATTATATTAGAATTAATGTACCTTTATTTACATTACGTTTTCCACCGTGGTCTGAATTTAGGAAGTAAAAACAACAGATTCTTTCAAACATTGGTTTTAATACAAAACTATAAATACAACATTAAAAATTACAAATGCATTGCATACATTATCACCGATGTTGTTACAGCATAGGTACCTCAACAATTACAAGTAATTTAGTTTATTGATAATATTGATATCCGTCTTATTGTTCATGTGGCGACGGTTATAGCTTATATTAGTACCGTGTCAGGTTTCTCTGATTTTGTCATAGAAAACCGACACGAAACGGGGGTTTTTAAATACTGATACACTGATACATTTGTACTCTCCGTGAGTACCTACTAAAAATTTGATAACAAAATACAGTTGGTGTTATTTTTGGGTTGTTTTGGTTGTTAAAACTTGTTGTTGTTTTGTTGGCAGCACTTTGGGCGTGGCACACGTAGCAGGGATGTGCAGACCTGACAGAAGTTGCTCCGTTAATGAAGATAATGGCATCATGTTAGCGCATACCATTACCCACGAGCTGGGACACAAGTAAGTATTACATTTTCTATGTCTTTAAAAATGGAGAAATTTTTCAATTCGACTGTATTTTTTTATGTTTTATCTGATAATTTATTTTAACGTGATTTACGTATACACGATTTCTTATTTTATTTCAGACTTGATACTTCTCGTGTAGTCCTACACAAATTTGATTAATATGAGTTTTTGAGTTATCCTTAATAATTGAAGTCGGTTTTTTGGTGGCAAAAACAAAGTTCTTGTATTCGTGACCTTATTTTTTTTTCTACTAATTTTAAATCCTATATTAATTTTGCACTAATATTTTATAACTACATACCTATATATGGGAATATTATGAGCAATGTTTTCATGTTTCGCTACAATTGTTTTCATTTCCCTGACGAAATAAGAAGAAAACATAGTACATTTCCGAACACAGTTATAAAATAAGTATTACTTATTTCTAATAATACATATGAAATTTTGAAGTATGATGTTACGTGTATGTTTTCATAGACTATACCCGTAGATATTATGAAATTATTACATCCAAATTGTTTGATATTTTTATAAATTGTAAGATTTATTTTATAATGTACTCACCCATATATTAAAATAACGATAGCGCCGCCTTCAAAGAATCGTTCATATAGTTTTGAGGGCCGTTCTCATAGTTTATTAAACAAACGCTTCTAAAATTACCGAAGTGTAGACCGTTGTAAGCTTTGGTAATTTTGGATGGAATTAGCTACCAGTATCCCGATTTCACAAGAGACGCTCTCAAATACTGAAATCATAACAAGCGATGAGCGTACTCCATGCACTCGCAAAAGACATAATAAACCAGTATGTTAGGTGTTATACTGTTTAATTAGGCTATAACTATTTTACGTTACATTATTATTAAGATCATTATAAGCAAAATTTATGTGTTTTATCAAAGTGACAATTTATCATTGTTTTAATTATAAGATATTATATTACAGGAATCACGAATTCGTATTATAATAAATTATTAAATTGGTATTGGAAAATGAAATTTAATAACTTAATAATTCAGTATTTTTTTTATAAAATATGAATTTAAACAAATTATATAGTACTAGCTGTGCCCGCGACTTCGTCCGTTTGTGATAGTGACCTTGACCAAAAAATAATTATATTTGCATATTAGATCATCTCTAATTATTAGATATCTAATAATTAGAGATTTGTGATTTTTTACAGCAAGTACCTACCTACAATTTACTAAAGGTAAACATTACTATAATTCAGTTTAAAGAAGCGCGACTAAGTTTTACTCATTGCACTTTAAAACCGTGATGGCAGTGCGTCTAATATCTTTACGCAATATACTCGTACGTATAGAAATTTTCGCAATGTATCTATGCGTCGGTAACCGGCCGTATGGGATTGGTCACTCACAAATAGGTTATTAAAATATTGCAACAGAATCATTAGTCTGTCATGATCTCTACACTCGAACGAAGCTTGATATAAATCCTTCGATAAATATATTTTTAAAAACATGCATTGCATATCATTACGACTAATTCTTCCAGTTGGGATAGTCAGAGCCATTGTCAACTGTGGATGTCGTGGTGAACGTAACACTTACCATACCCATTTCACATCGATATATGTATTTTGAATCTAACGTGGAAGGGGGCGAACCTACCGATTAATTTTTAGTCTAAAATTTGTGTTTTCTTCACAAATATAAATTGACACTCAATTTTTTTGTGTCGGTCTGATTTTATCTCAAGAGGTAGTCTTGGACGTAATTCACAGTAGGGCACGACGATGCTCTCACATATAAATAAAATTGGAGTGTCTGTTTGTAAAAATAAAAATAACAATATTTTACTACATGCATATGAATATACTATAAATATGGTACATACACCAAATAAACATTTTTTACAAATTTTATCTGTCTGTCTGTTTGTTCCGGCTAATCTCTGAAATTATGGACCGATTTTGACGGGACTTTTATTGGCAGATAGCTGATGTAATAAGGAGTAACTTAGGCTACTTTTATTTTAGAAAATTCTCTAATTAACTTTTTTGTTAAATAATTATGGACGAAGTCGCGTATAACACTTCAATATTTTTTTTCTGTGTATCATAAAAATTGTTTTATAAGTATGAGTACTTAACTGTTTTGGCATCTACATTTTACTTAGTTATGTTATAATATATTTTTAATTAATTAAGCTATATATATATACAATACATTAAGCTATTAGAATCCACGAAAAAGCTTAATTCTAGATGTAAAATATATTGTCATGAAATATTAGTGACAACATATTTTACATCACAGAGACGGCAAATAAGAATACAACCAGCCTTATGGTGAATAACCAATAGGTAACACTAAGTAGGTTGAAACTCTGGTTGCATTATCTTCTAACTATTCACCGAGTTTTGATATTTATAATTATTTGGACTTATCTTAAATTATATACGTATTTTAATTCTTGTAACTACAACAGTAGGTAATAACATAAAAAAATAAAAAGTTAAAAGTGAAGAAAGAACATGTAGTCAAATTTAGATCGAAAGAATACACAGTGTTATATTTACATAATTTTGGAAATATGTGTACTATAAATTGGCAACGGTTGCCTGGCGCCACCGGCATCTACCACGGTCTGACTCATGTTCCTATGCTGAGATTAGAGGTATCACAAGGACGCAGACATAGAATCGCTTTTGTCGATAATAACAGTATACCAAGCGATCAACTGTTATAATTGAAATAATTTATGACCTCGTATAAATATGGATAGGATTAAATATTTTATATGAATTTTCAATAACTCAAAGGAACAAATACTTAACTAACTCTATGCAAGGTGGTTATTTAGAATAAAAAAACGATTCTGATGATATAGAGCAAATACAAAAATAAATAATTATTTAATCTATACCGCATTATGTCAGAAGATATTACATATTATTATAGTAGGTTTACAGTATCAGATAGTCTGTATTACATTACCGAGATAGCAACGGCGAATACGTATAAAATACGAGTATTAATTTACATTACCGCATCGCATTGTGATACATACTTACAAAATAATAATTTATATCGACGGCCTCGGTGGCCTGGCGGTTAAGCTCACAGCTTTAATTCCGATGGTCGCGGGTTCAATTCCTCGCTCGGTATAAACATTTGTATTCATGAGTAGGATAGTGTGTATCGGTCTGGGTGTTTCCTATATATATTATATACTTTCATTGCTGTTAGAATAAATACTATGCACTAAGATAGGCCGCATAATATATTCAACCCTAATTTGGAATCGCATATTTATAAGTACTAATCAACGTTCTAAATTTATTATTATTATGCTTTACATACATTTGTCCCCTAAATTATTATCTTTACCTAAGGTAAATATTAGTATTTAACCGACCCTCTTCTACATGCTAAAAGGTCTTTTGAATTGACCAGACGAAAAATAAGTAAGTGGCAATATATTTATTATTAATATTTTATATTATGCAATTATAACCTATGATACGTAAGCGATGCCAACTCAGTAGTATCCACTATTTTACTATATATTTTAGCATCACATCTACTCATAGAATAATGTTTATTATCCACATATATCTTGTAACTTTGTACAAATTAGTCTGTATGTACTTCTCTGTATTCAAACGATAGGCTAAATGCGGAAAATAGACTATACAGTACATACTCAGGTTCAGATGCTTGTAACACGCTTTGGCCATGTTGCAGTTGAAAGGCAGCAAAGTTACAGGGCAACGAGATAAGACATTTTAGTTCTCCAGAACGTCACATTTTGGGTCTATGACGTGCGTCGCCACCACGAATATCGCGTAAACGTATTTGTACGTACGGACGACGTTATCATGTAACGTGACACAGCAATACCGCAGTGTAAATTATTTCACATTTTAGACAGAAGATTATTTTTTATCTATATAATAATATATCATCATCATTTTTTGATGACAAATTTCCGTAGCTGAGTATCACAAAGCTAATCTTTTACGTAAATAATGAGTTTATGAGTTTATACAAAAAAAGACATTATTATATGACTGACTCCGGTGAACGGAATACCGAAATCAGTTTAAAAAAATAATCCGAGAGACAGCGGTAGTCTCACCCCTGTCACCAGCGATCCAGCGAAATGTTGACATGTCAAATGTTACATTCACTACTACAACAGACAGGCACAGTCAACTGACGGACTATGCTTATCTAAGATAACAGTTGTGACGGTTTGTGTGTATGTTTAAAACGATACAAATACTGTTAGGAATTAGTTATAATAAATATAAATAAATACTTTAGCGGATAATTGTTGATAATGGAAATTTTTATCCTCTTTGCCTGGTTCACTCTGGTTCACTTCCACGCTCTCCCTTGATAAGACAACTGAGCTAACTACTGAGTATTTAGTATTTATTTATTTAGTAACTGAGTATCAGAGTATATCTATCGTTAGTACAGGTCCTTTAGCACTATACCATTACAATTCATTAATATAAATTATTGTGTAACAAACATTATATAAGCAACTTATTAGAGTAGACACTAGTAGTAGTTGTAGTAGAAATAGACAAGCACCAATATTTCAGTATATACTTACAACGACAGATACAAACAAATTCTCTGAACGTTGATGACTATGAAAAAGTGATGTAAATTATAATGAAATTTGTGACGAGTAAATTTACATCCGCGTCAAAGATACTCCAAACGTGTATATTTTTTTAATGAACGTCGAGAACAAAAATAGGACAAAAAACGCTTTTGAACTTTAGTTCAAGTTATTTATAAACCTTTTGATTTTTCAAATGGAAGCTTGCATGCAATCGTAACTTTAAATGGAAAGGAAAATTTCGTAACCTATAGGCGTAAAGATTAACTTTCTACTTTTTAATACTATAGTGCAGTGTGGTAAGTACGATACCATACGCTTCAACATAAAAATCGCAAAGCTATTTTGGATTACTGTGCGTTTTTTATTTTAATATTTTGTATAATATTATTCACATGGTTAAACATTAAAATTAAACCTCTATTATATTCATGATTAGGATGAAGTATTCATTTTATAAACATATACACGCATTTTTTTTTGTGTAATCAAATCATTACTGTAATTATGCAGTTTATAAATGACACAGTGACCTCCAACATGATATTACATTTTACAGTAGTTTAATCTATGTATATTTTTTTGCTTTTGTAGATATATGTAGTGGGTACAAAACATTTGCGTAGTAAATTTAATTTATTCATTTATAGTTGTAATAATATAATATACAACATTTACATTATTAACTATTTACTCTTATCCAACAATAGATTTTATAATGAATACGGTTTTATTAAAAGAAAACACGGATTCAATTTCGCCATTGTTAAAATTTTTTACTACTCTAGTTTTAGAAATTTTTAGTAGTCTACTTAGGCCATTCCGTATAAAAAAAAATATATACAAATACATATAGGCCTTCTCCATTCCACAATCCAAATGTGGTTAATGATGAATAATGAATGCGTACAATGACCTGCATATAATAAAAATTAGACGTCACTGTAGATATGTAATCTAGTCAGAACTATAATATAATATTTTTTACAATTTATTTGCCTTAGCACAATAATATAATAGATAAATAGACGCGCACGATATTAAATAATATTGAAACTCATTTTCCATTGTAACGTAAATTTCTTTAATGTAGTATTTATATTATTTGGTCATCCTCACTTCACTACTAATATTGTAAATGAGAAAACAACTTTATTTGTAACCACTTGAGGATTTGACGCCTAGAGGTGGTTTACTTTTACTACGAACTTGCCTGAGATCTCATCCGCGTGGATAAGCGGCTCTCATCTTAGGCAACTAACTATATATATAAAAGTAATAAGGTCATTGGAAGATCTAAAAAATGCGACAGAAAGCGCAAAAGTCGTCGCAACATTCTGGGGCAAATACATTTAGTTACCATTGAAACGAAAGAAGAGGAAGAAATACTCCGTTGCTTATTCTGAAAACAAATGTATAATACATTAGTTTTTACTTCAACAGTAATTTGAAATCTCAATAGATTCAACAGTAATTTTCAGTAATCCTTCAAACATTTTTGATTAAGCATGTAACCTAAATACCCAGGTAACAGGTACTACTTATAGTTAAATACCAAACTATAACTGATTGATAAAATTTTTCTGTGTTTTAGTTTTGGCCTATACCACGACACTGAGAAAATCGGTTGCCACCGACGTGAAGGTTCGACGCTGCATATCATGACACCGATCTTTGAAGCCGACACTCGTCAGGTAGCCTGGTCACGGTGCAGCAAGCGGGATGTCACCAACTTTCTAGAGTTAGTAAATCCAGAATACTAAGTCATCAACTAAAATATTTAATACAAGCTGTGATATATATACAAGGATACTATAATTTTATAAAATACTAACTGTCAAACGTTGTTTTGCCTTAAAATAAAATAAAATTTAGGGGTGGACTATCCCTAACATTTAGGGGGATGAAAAATAGATGTTGGCCGATTCTCAAACCTACTCAATACGCTCACAAAATTTCATGAGAATCGGTCAATCCTTTTCGGAGGAGTATGGGGACGAAAACTGTGACACGAGAATTTTATATATAAGAAATATCTTATATATAAAATTCTCGTGTCACAGTTATAACTCTTGTACTAATTGTAATAATTTAAGATCGTAATTATGTCATATTAAACATATATATATTGTTTGCAAAATGTGTGTATGTGTGTGTATCTGTTAATGTAAATAAAGTAAATATCTATCTACCTGAGAGAAGAGGACAGAAATACTAAATTATTAAATTTAATGTATTGTAGAAAATTCATCATATATCGTAAATACTTATAAATTGTAAATTATACTAATAGTAGAAACTTATACCTAACAATAGAGAAAATCTATCTCTATAGGAAACCAGAATTACCTGAATGTCACGCAACATATCTCTTAACGGGACCGCTTTTACCCAAAAATACACCCTCAGGAATGTTGGGATAAACCTTGCCTAAATTTGGCAGTATTCACAAATTGCTGTAGAATTTTTCTTTATACTTAGAGGATGTTTATCCCATCTAAAAAAAGTCTAATGGCTTCATAATAGTTAATATTTACTGTTTCAGTAGTACACCATTCACCATTATTACATGTTTCTTTACTTTAAAATCATGACAACTTTGTAAGTAATGTGTATAACAGTTACGGTCAATGTTAATGAATTTTCCTATAAAATATTTTACGATACATATTGCTCTCAGATAACCTTTCCTCTAATGGCTGATAAAATCTATGTAGAAAGTCTGCAGCTTCTTTCAAACAAGAAATTTATTTCGAATAATAAATTGCAAAAAGCTTTTAGCATATTCCGACTCGGTACTAAATTAGTACCAGCTGTAATTCAGTAAAATACCTACCTGCTATATCAATTCCATACGTATAGATGTAATGTTTTGTGTATAAAATCGATATTACATTAAACAATTTTTTTATCAATAAGTATCTATTTTTTCTTGACATGAATCTTGGTTCTTGTTCTCTTTTAGGTCTCCATTTATGTATTGCATTGTTCTTTATGAAATCAGATTAGTAAAAATATAGGCTGTGATTATTCAATAAACTATAGAATAAGAAAAATCTATAGTTTATTAAATAATAATAGATTTTTTCCATAAAAAATATTATTTCATAACCCTATCTACATTTATTTACCACTGGAATTACTCACTTTATTTTATGACTTTTTACAACCACTTATCAAATACAGAACTACTATTCCATGTAGATAGAGCTTTTATTGTCAGATGCAGTTTATTTCATTAAACATCTTAGCAATTTTATTATATTTTACAACATTAAAATTGACCGTCGATAAAAGACATATCAACAAATACAACAAATTAAAACTGTTTTAGCTCAGATTATCATTTCTACACAATTTAGATTCGATGTCAATAGGGTCACACAGAATGAATTATTTATAACGCTACTCCATCAGTTAATATTTATATAACTTATGTATTATATACCTACACTAATTAAAATACCTCGTCAGATTATTATTCTAAAACACGTGTTTGTTACACCTTCTAATATTGATTCGGTATTCTGTAATTAATATAATAACTATATATGTAAATAAACCATCAGCAGTAATAAAATTTAATCAATTTAAAAATATGTTGATATTAATATTAATAGAATTAAGTCTATATGGAAATTCAGTATTATAAGTAGATATCCGGATCGACAATATACTGCGTCGTCCCCTGATGTTTGTCGGCATAATATTATTTCTACTGTATTTATCACTTCTACCGTATGCCATGGGAATTCTTAATTTGTAAAATAGTTCTAGTAGTAATACGGATTATCACATCTACTTAATAACATTATTTTACAAGAGATCGATAGTTTGAGTTTTAATTGAAGTTATCTGCGTGGGTACCGGTTCTCAACCGTCAAGCCGCTTGCTTTGTAAGCTATTTTAGTTGTAGGATGAGGTTAGGTAGTGAAATTTCAGGATATGAAACATGACATTTTAGTTCCTTGGCATTCCAAAGGACACCCATCCATTGCCATTGCAATGAATGGGTGTTTAGATTAGTAATATTAGATTACTAAAACATAGGTACTATATAAAACTATAAAAATATGTATTTACTGGTCAAAGATATGTCCCACGGTTGACTGCTCATTTAGTTGTTTTTGCAGATGTGGTTCACATCACCACCACACATACTATATCTTGATTTAGTAGTTATTCTAATAATTTATATATAATTACTTACGTTTACAGTGCTGGTTTAGGAGAATGTTTGAGTGACACACCATCCCAAGAAGAATACGAGTATCCGGAAGTTCCAGCTGGTAAGGCGTCGCTTTATTTGTAATGGCATAAATAGTGCAGTATACATTTCATAAAGTAGTGTTATATTAACCTCTTATAAGTATAGGTAAAAAATAATTCACCTACGATTATCTCGAAATGTCGATTACACTCGACAGGTTCAATATTTAGCATAATATTACAGTCAGCTCATGCCTACAGTTGTACAATAGTTACAATGCTGATTATTATAAGACAAGTTTATAACTGCAGCTAGTAAACAAATCTGTTAATGTTATAGAAGTAACTTTTATGTTAGAAATATACTTACTAAAAAAAAAGAAAGCTATATTTGACACGGGCTGCTGCTACCCGCTTCTTTCTTATAAAATTATAGGGTAATTTTATAAGAAATAAGAATAAACGCAGCGAAAATTATCAAGAATAATTTGGTAATTATGATTTATATCTTCAGGAGTCATGTTTGATGCGGCAACGCAATGTCACCTACAATTTGGCTCTGAAGCAGTAATATGTGCGAAACCAATGGAACTGTGTGAACACCTGTGGTGCCTTGTCAACGATACTTGCAAGACAATGCTGCGGCCGGCCGCACCGGGCACGACATGTGGACCTAATATGGTAAACCCAACAAATCTCTATTTAACACATATTTGTTTATTATTAACCAGAAGCAGAATTTAATGTATCGTACTTTAAAAATGACTGAACTGAATTTCCATACACCTGCCTAGACTCTATTTTACCCCTTTAGAGATGGAATCTCAAAACTTGCAATTCTTCTTAACTCATGATCATAAACTTTACGAAACGTCAACATTTGGTCAATGCCAATGTAGTTTAAACTTTTCTTTGATGTATCGGTTTAGCGAAACGATTTTAAATACTTATATAAGACATCTACTAACTATGTATAAACTATACTCAGTGGTGCCAGAACCAAACGTGTGTGCCTCGCACCGCCTCCCCCCAACCCCGTAACGGCGGGTGGGGTCCGTGGAGTGAGTGGAGCGAGTGCTCTCGCACGTGTGGCGCCGGAGTCTCTACACAGTCGCGAGAATGCAACAATCCTAAGCCCTATAACAATGGCGATTACTGCATCGGAGCCAGGAGTCGGTGAGTATTGATAAATACATAAAGAACGAAAAGATATTGCTATTTAAGCTGTATTTCGATTGTAGGGTATGATCAAGCAGTGAAGTCAATAAGCAGGAATAGTATCGCGTGTCACATGATAACAAGATGTTTTTAGTCCGTATATAGTGCAATTCATGTACATAGCCATAGTCACCGCTTACCAAAAATTAGGTCGTCATCTTGTTTGGCATTCCAATTAAATTACAAAAAGACGTACTCGTTAAAAAACTAAACCAAAACAATTTTTTTTTCTTTCAGATACAAAATATGTAACACAGACCCGTGTCCCAATAATGAACCTACCTTTAGAGAAGTACAGTGCGCCCAATACAATAATAAAACATATAAGAACATGACCTACTCAGAATGGATTCCATATTTTGATCAAGGTAGGTATATATATCACCGTGCATTTATCGTTAATATGCATCAATTTTTCCCTCAAGAAAAAAATATTCATATAATATTTGTCTCACTTTGTGTTTACCAGATAGACCATGTGAGTTGAAGTGTGTACCGTACGATGAAAGTGAGTTGGAAATAGCAGGAGGATTCGTTATCGATGGCACACCGTGCAGACAAAACCCAGGAGCCAGAGATATGTGCATAGCTGGTATGAATTTTATTATTAGGTTAATAATATCCTGAGATGTGATTAGTAAACAGAAACAAACAAAACTCGGTTGCCCTAATTTTATATATACATACAATTCGACATATATAGCGACCATAGGCTATGATAGGTATTTCTGTGATTAACAGATACTTCGTATACGCATCTTCGTATACGTATAACAGGTTACGGTAGAATATCATTTATTAATATAATTTTAATGATATCTAATCCTGATTACCTATTTTAAAATATACATGCTAGTGATGTGATACATATATGGATGTATTATGATGTACAGGTACGGTCATAAGTATATTTTCTCAGGTGTCTGCTATAAAGTCGGCTGCGATTGGATCGTCGACTCCGTAAAGGAAGTCGATGCATGCGGCGTCTGTGGAGGTAACGGCTCTGCCTGTAAGACTGTACAAGGAATCTACAACAAGGGTACGACCAGACAATCCGGACACAGCGAGGTATAAACCTACATTTCGTGTCGTTTTTGTATTCGTCTAATTGCTTCCAAGAGATACATAATTATATATATCTTAGAACCAATTAGAATAATAGGTACATTAAAAGATATCATAAAAGTTCTTTCTTTTGGAGCTGCATGTACTCATTTTAACTTTTTTAACTATGTTTCAAAAAGTTTAGATACCATAATAATATTGACAAAGTGCTATTGTTTAATAGCACTTTGTCAATATTATTCATTTATATGCTCTTTACCACAGTTATTAAAGAAACAGGAATTTGTGAACCCCGAAAATGTCTCGATATCTACGTGACTTTTCATCTTTTAGGTTGCCGTCATTCCAGCAGGATCAAGAAACGTAAAAATCCAAGAGAAAATTAGCCCTGGTAATTACCTTGCAATTGCAAGTGCGAATTCCAAGAAAGTGTACATTAACGGAGCAAGGTAGGTTATGTAGTAGGTTGTAGATAGTTTGATAACAATTTCTGAAAAATAACAAATTACTCAAATTAGTTACTTAATTTGCTTAACTATAGCGGATTCTGAAATACGAGATTGAATATCAATTGTCTTTATATTCTAACCAATTTATAAGTGTTCCTTTCTTAAATTTGTTCGTTATTACCTAATTTACTCAAGATATCACATCCTCCTATTATTACTTCAATGTTCGTCTTATTATTTTCTCGACGACAAACGAAATGAGTCAAGATGTTACAAATACCTGCTTGAATATAGCAAATATATTTAATCATCCTAATATTAGATACATACCTGCTGGAATTTTTTATGGTAATTTGTTTCACTTGTAACAAACCCTTATAGAATTTGTGCGTAATTCCGGCTCGCTTTTTGTCTTAATTATAAGGCGAGTCCATCCTAAGGTCCAAACGAAGGTCGAAATTACGACGGCCTGAGCCAAGGTTCCAACCTCTAGCGGTGCCCTCAGACTAAAGTCGTATACATCAGGCGGGAGTTGGCCTTCAACCGCTCCATAAGTCCTTCCACGGGTTTGGAATGCCATCTGCATTCGCCTCCTATCGTCCGGTGAAGCTGTAAAGGCCAGCTGCGGTCAACAGCATTACAGTAGTCCGAAAAAAAAATTTTTGATGCAATTGTATTTATTATGAGAGAACTAATATAGAGTTTATATATTTTTTTTATTTTTCAGAAATAACATGATGACTGAATATTTAGTAGCAGGATCTCAAGCTATTTACGAACGAGACCGCGATTGGGAAAAAGTAAGAATACAAGGCCCCATCGCGGAAGATATTAAAGTTTATGTAAGTACTATTGTTAGGGTTCGCATGGATATTTTCGAAAAATCTGATATTTTATATTAAAAGAAGGTAGTTTCATTATTACTCGGTATCGTTAAACTAGTTGCATATATTTCATATCTTTCTGTATAAAAGGGAGGGTTTTTGTAATATTCGGTCTTTGAGCACAGGATGTGCTGGTTGTATTTTAATTGCTAAAGTGAATTGTGTTAGAGACATAGTTCAATTAATGTTATATAGTTGTTATTTTATTATAATACATACTTTTACTAGTACATAGAGTTGATATATCTAACACTATATAAGCTGAGTGCTAACCCATCCGTACCCGGCGCTTATATAGGTGAACACATAGATGAATAGTATCACGAAGAACGTGTAATCAACTTATATTATAATTCAATAAGCTTTTTATTTCTTTTGTACAATCTAAACGTATATGGTAGTCCCATTGTACCATAAAACTAATTACTCCATTACCTCACCAGTGAACGAATTGCCTTAGCCGCACTCTGTGAAAACTAAATAACCTTAAAAAATATACTAAATAACATTATATGATACTTGTGGAACTATGTAGGTATACTCCGTACTGAGTAATATCATTAGCTTATCTCCCGAAAACCGTTCAACCGAAACACATCAAATAAAGCAAACTACATGGTGATTGAAATAGGTGAGATAGAAGTACCCACGTCGACTCTATTATCAAAAACAACAATACAAGTAGCCATATTTCATTTGCTTTTTTCCAGCAACGTTTATGTCGCGGTCTCCACCGTAACCCTGGCGTAACATATCAGTATACGGTAGACCGGAAACGACAAAAGCAGTTCAAATACCAACTGTCCAAGTGGTCCGCCTGCTCTGTCACCTGCGACGTTGGCTATATGAGACGACACTTAGAGTGTGTCGATCAAAATGATCGTAAGTTCTAGCAAAGCATTCATCCATCTCAGTTTGCGATAATAACATTGATGAACTGTTAATTTCTCGGATATAACCCCATTATACATTTGATTTAAAAAATATGTAACAAAATATACAAAGCCCATTACATTAAAAAAATGTAGTCTTTTGATCATTTAGTTCATAAAATTTTAATATCAGTAAGTTAATTCTTTGTGTTAAAGAATTAATATGAAACTAATACTAACACAGGTATCGTGGATCAATCACAGTGCTACCATATTGAGCAACCTCGCCACGCAGCCCTAATGCAGCAGTGTCACCAACCGAGCTGCCCACAGCCTCCAACGACGTCGTTAGCAACCCAATCTTCAAATGTGTTCTGGCACGTATCGTTATGGAAGCCGTGCCCTAAAGCATGTTACATGCCGGTACGTATCCAAAACGTCTTTTAAGTTCACCATTATAATGATATTACCAATAATAGACTAGTTTCCGCCAGGGGCGCGCCGACCACAGCAGCATCTGTGAACGAAACTTTTAACGCACCTCTTTTTTCTATTGTTGTGTTTCAAATTGAATATAATATTCAAATAATGTAAATATTAACAGAGCCGTGAATTAAATAAAGACGAGTTCTTGAATGTTTTATATTATCTGGCGCCCCTGGGCGCACACAGGGGCGAGGCGGGGGCCTGGTTTCCATTTAGATACTAAATAGAATAAAAGAGTATAATCTCTGTGTTAGGTGCTTCATAGTCGAGACACATCACAAAATAATTTCTCTCTCTCTCTTCTGAAAAAATATTATACGTCGCATATACTAAATTGTAAAATGGTTAATTAAACTATAAATTTTGAGCAACTAATTTCACTTTTTGAGACCTATGCATCTTAAACTATTACTTACTTAAGCACATAATGACTATGTAAAATCAACATTGCGCTTATTTATTTTTTATCACATCACGTAACATTACTACTGAGCTCAGAAAGCATTCCCTATAAGACGAGGATATTACTCTACTAAGCCTATAGGGTTTTATTTCGATTTTTTCTAATATCATTGATTTTTATTTTTTTAGCAGGAGTTGTGATTGTGATACACATGTAGGTTTATTACTCTATCAATAAACGAACGAAACATCGTTACCATATAATCACCGTCACCATATGAGTCCGTAAATACACAATGAATAATCCTTATTATTTCTGTTTGCAGGGTGAAGAGGTAATTAAACAACGGCCAGTGCATTGCGTGGACAGATTAACGAATACTGTTATAGACGATGTATATTGTGATCTTGCTACTAAGCCGAACAGCACAGTTAAATGTAATGTACCAGCATGTTAGAATTTGAACGATATAGTTTTACGAATTTAAAATGTTACCGTGATTGAAGAAGCATAACGTAGACACGAAGTGAAACATCTGAATCTGTTGTAATATACCAATAGTTATAAACAGAGTAATATGACAAGTAGGAAATAGAATAATACAAGTATTCCACTGTGTTCTACTATGTGTTCTACTATTTTTACTAAGTATAATCGTCTAGTTGAGTGATATGAATAATGAGGTGCATTCGGGTAAATATGAAAGTTTATTAGATGTTAGTATTTTAATTGACTAGTCAGATAGGAAAATTTCATGTTTTCTATTTCGGCCGTTTCTCTACCTTAATATATAACTTATAACTCGAAGTTACACTTCATAAGCCACTTATGGTAATATCGGTAGAATAAGGTAACAAAAACTTAGTTTTACATCCATTGTATATGTTCTTTGCATAATTTATCTATATTAGTGATGCGATTTTATTGGAATAGTTTGTACTCGAAAGTTAGGATTTACATTCTCCGCAACTTGAGTAAGATTTGATGGTTTTCTACTATTTGTATGGTGACGTATAGTCCATATCCACATAGTACGTGACCATATTACCAATATATTAATGTTAGTTTTTTTTTGAGAGCGTTAATGGAAGAACTTTTACTTAGACCGAGGAGATTGTAAATTTGAATCTGGCTAACACCAAAAAACTTTGTATCATTTGATATTTGCAACTGATTGTCCAGTGATGGAAACACCGATAAGAAACAAAGTAATCGGAGAGACGGCGTTGGCCTGACCCACTGCCATGCTGGATTTATATAATAATATATCCAGGAAAGTTTTTCCAAAATTAAAGAAAAATTTTTAATGTTTTGATATACCGAAAATATTTAATAAAATTCATTATAGGAATCGCAAGTTTAAATAATTTTATATGAAAGAGCAAGCGTGCTACTTATAGCACGCTTGCTCTTTCATACTTATACAAACAGTAAAATACTCCTAGAAGAGTTCCAAACTCTCCTATACATACTTATATATAAATGAAACGTAGATTAAGATGTGAATTGCCGGCCACCATGAAAATATTAAACCATAGCTTTTGAATGAGGCAGAATATATCACATTGATGAATGAGCAATATTGTAAAACAGTAATTAAAAAATAAAAGTGACTAAGTAGTAAGTTGCCATAGGGTCACTGTTCTGAGCACTGCCAGAACGTTATGTGCAGTGGTATATATAAATAAAGATATTGAGGTAATTCAAAAGGTATTGAGGTACCTCCGATCCTGTGAGCCAATACTGATGACTTAATCTGGGGTAGTTACAAGTCTTGAATGAAGAGGTGGTAATAGATGATAAGACATTGTAGTTGTGATAAGGCAATGGCACGCGCTGATGTTCGTTAAAGCAGCGTTGAAGCACATGTCGCACTGTAGCATTATCATCTAGTTCAAATCTGACGCAACCAAAGAACGGTGGTCCTATAAGGCTAGGACCACCGGCCATGCGCAGTAGTAGAAAAAGCAAACAATATGATATATCTAATAGGAACATAAATATTATGAATGTTGAACTATATACGATGTAATGTATAAATTTTCGATAGTTTATAATTGCTTCATGTCAGGATGTTAAATTATAGGTGTCCTTGATCAGTGAATCAAATTACGTACGTATTATGCAAGATCTGTTCCGACGCATTCAAGTACATATTGGTGTCACTTCTATTGACGGTTTAAAGCGATAGCTTAACGGAGTTACATATATGTAAATAATCGAATGTTATTCATCAGTCTTGCTAAAAGTCTAAAATGGCTTGACCCATTGGAATATTATTTATTGTTTGCTATGATGATAATGAGCAAAAATAAAAAATGGTAATTTGATTATATCGTTGAAGTAGATTATAAATTGTAATATAATAGAGAGATTAAATTGTAGTAGCATAAAGAATAAAGCATAAAGAATAGAATGGGGCAGAATAAATTTGAACAGATAGAATAGAATAATATGAATTGAAATAGAAAAAAATGGATGAGAAGGCAGGCAATACGTTTTAAAATACAAGTAAATGTACTGTGAGCAACTCTAAGCGATTACGTGCCATTTTATAGTCTTCATTAAAATTCCAAGGATATAAGTTCGTCAAGTCAACCAATACTTATTGTAAAATATATAGCAGGTGATACTCAATTCACCAGATCGTATAGTGTATATAAAAGATAAGAATAATGTAAATAGTAAATTTAATAATGCTTAGACAGTATATTTTTAAGTTAATGGATGATAATGCTAATATACGTACGTAAGACGTAGACGCTAACCGTTGAAAAGGTCGATAAGCTACAAGTCATCCAAAGAACAATAGACCGATCAATACTCCGTATCTTCCTAGAAGATCCCTATCTTACGGACGCCATTAAACGAATCACACAGCTAAAGTAGCGGTCTGCCGGCCACGTACGTCGAAGTAGAGACGACAGATGACATACAGATAACTAATGTGGCGACCTAGGATGGGTGACCTAGCAGACATACCAGCTGCCAGATGGTCGGACGACAGTAAAAAGACGGCATGACTATTCTGGTCCATATGCAACGCAGACTGAAGAAGGTGTACAATTATCAAGAGGCATTCGTCCAGCAGTGGACTATATGCTGAATATATAGAGCAAGAACTAGGTTACGAAAAAGCTCATCGTAACGAAGACAACAGGACTTAAGCGCAATGGTTGCCAGAGACCGCGAGCAAGTCGACAGGTCATTGCTAGCAATCAAGCCACTATCTCCATCACTAACAATTCGTTTCCCCTATATTTAGTATTTATTATGTAGGTACTTATATAACTATTACAAATAGTTTAGGTACAAATGTACGATACTTTTGACAGGGGTATGATAATTATTAATATTGTCTGTTCTTCGTTTCATAGATTTTTATAAAACTAACAAAAATAACCTGTGAGAGAGACCAACAATTTTATATACTTAAATATAAAATATTTAGAAAAATAACGAGATAAATTTATTTTTTAAATCTTGTAGGTATAATTCTTTCTTGGTTATAAAAATATTAGGAAATTTACCATTATATAAATTAAAAGTTTTCTAATGCTTTTTTGAGTTCATTAATTCATTATGAAATTTTCGAATATGCAAGATACAAACTTTTAATATAAAATGCCTCCATATTACTATTTTAAAACTTTAATTTGGGGGGAAAATAAGTTAGTTCGGGAGCACGGAAAGTCTCATCTGGCATTGACCAAATCTTCTCGGTCCCGGCGACTCGGTAACTCGGAAACGTACTCTGGCTTTATGATGTTTCACGAATACGGGTTAGGAAAATTCACTCAAATAAAAAGTCTCGAGTCGCATCACTAATCCATATATTTAGTTTCAGCCAAGGTAATATATATATATATAATATACCTACATTGTACATACAAAGAAGAATACTACATCTTCTTATACAAATCCTCTTTAACTATTGAAAACACCAGCAATAAAATATGTGTTATCCAAAGTCTGAAATTATGTTAGTACGTATTATGTGATTCACAGTAACGGATGTACCTACACTTTGTATAAATAACGCGAGCGAGTATATCAGGTAAGGATGATGTCTAGCTAAAAAAGGGAAAGAAAGAGAAAGATTGAATATACTTTCGGAATATACAGATTTTCACAATTACCCGTATGCACTCAAACAATGCGGAAATGAGCACATATGCCACCGATTTACTTTTTAAATGCGTGGAAAATTGACTAGTGTGTATTTTAAAAGGTGCAATGTCGAAAATCGGTAATCTCACCGGTTTTAGCAATATACTTACACTGATGTTGTAAAATAGAATTGAATTATTTTTCCCCCTCCTCTCCCTCTATAACGTCATGATCTGCGGATTATGACGGTGAGGGATCGGGAGGATTCAGTATTCAATCCTATTATTAAAAGTGTTTGTTATTTCTATATATACAACAACTGCCATATTAATATTTAAGTTTTACTGTTGTTTAAAAATAATGTCAGCTTAGTAATAGATAATTTTAATAATTAGGTACGTAAGTACTTATTTCTATGTTTTATATTCAGCAAACGTCAGTATTAAAGTGATGTATGTACATTTACGTATACCGTATCATAACTTTGGTCCAAAAACTTAAATCAATTTGACATTGCCATGATTATAATTACATATAGTCACAGACAAATTTAGATAGTGAGAATTTATACGTATTCTCACGATTTACTTTAGAGAGAACTTTTTCATATATTAATACGTAATTATAATTAATAGCTGCATAATTGAACAGATTGTAAATTTATTTACCTTCACGGCAGATCTTGCAGTGAAGAAGGTGGATATTTAGTTCATGAAGTTTGGAAGAAACAGACAATTCTCATAGGTACCAGTTTTGTATAGATTTTGATCACTTACCTAACATGAAATTCTAAAATAGGTACCAGCTCAACTAAATGGACATTATGTTCAGGTGAATACTGCGTCCCTTTGTTTGTTTCAACATGGAAGACAAAAATCCGTGTGCATTAGATAATCTTAATATGTAACTACATGTCTACACAGGTAGACGTGCGCACACGTTGTGACAGCAAAATCAACCATTCGCATATAATTATTTAAGACTAAATACCAGTGACACAAGTCAATTGCGTACATCCGATAAACCGAGACTGGATACTATCTGAGTCATTTATAAAAATGTGGATAATATGCATTTTAGTTGGCATATAAATTGGGAAACATCTAGTCTACTTTTACATATTAAGCCATAGATAGGAACGTCATAGTGGTAACTCTTAACCGGTATACTAAAAATAATAATTTAGTTTTTTTAATTTGGTTTGAACTATTACTATGACACAAACCAAATATAAAATGTAATTTCTAATAGACAGTAACATGCCTTTGTTTACTATGAGAAAATTATCTTAATAAAATGTCAATACTTGTAACTAATTGTTTATAACTAATTGTTTAGTTTAACAGTTCTTTGATTTAGCTTTTGTAATAAAAAGTTAATTTAAGACTATTTTTGACAATTAACCAATATAATACGATAACTTTCCCGTTAGTATTATATCACAGTAGCTCGGTAACAACTATTAACTAGTACTTGCGATAACAAAACACCAAGATACAAATTATATCTAAATAGATATGACGGCACAAATAACGAAAACAAAGTGACCTACGTGTGATCGCTGGCTTTATTTTATTTCGCCGAGAATTGAACGTGTGCACCATTTTACCACTTAACGTTCCTATCACTACGTATAAAAAATGTGATTATACGTAATTGAAGATCTATTTGGGCATATGTCCTCGTATTTTATAATATACTATGTGAGTTTTCTATACGTTAACATAACGTACGAGTATACTATCACTCTGGATTAATGTACATTTCCAACAGTGAAATATTTTTTCAGATCGGTGCAGTCATTCCAGTTTACTGGACCCGCTCTCTTTATTTATAAAATTAGTATAGGCTCAGTAATTTAGTTTTAAGCTCATATGAATATTGTTCGAAAAATACGGAAAACTGGAGATAATTCTGTTTATAATGAAGTTCCACAATTATGTAATGTAATATAAAACTTTAATTAACATGCTAAAACTGCGGTCTGTGCCTAGCTATTTAAAATTATACAAGTCTGTACTCAAAATAATGAGCTATAATCCAATGATAGTATTCATGTAACTGAAGCTTAATTTTGGTATAAAAAGTTAGTAAAAAATTCCAGATTTTCAACCTTACATGTTCATTGAAGATAAAGCGCAGGTTGTCGGATAGCAGTGTCAGATTTCGGCTAGATATATCTGTTCAATTACGATAAACATATATACATACCCTATAGATAAACGGGTAAATCAACAATTATACGTCTATTGTTTACTGCGTCAACAGACAACATTATTTATATATGGAATATATTTAACTAATCTTGTATGTAATTTATATTATAATTCTTTTAATAAAATATCATATTGATGTTTTAAGTATGTAATGTATTAGTTTATATGAAATTAAAAACAGATTTTGTTCTCAAGTCATTGTCAATAGACTTCATTATTTCTTCCTCTCGTTTTAAACCGGCATTAAAAATAACATTTTTATAATTTAGCTTATAACTATTTGATAGCTCTAGTTGATCCATTTTCTGTATCAAACGCTTCCTACACCACAGAATTCAGGTATCACAATACAATTAATTTTTAACTTATTATATCCAATAACAAACGATGACACCATTTTTAAGACTTAGGCCGATTTTACTTCAGAATCAGTCTTTAACCGAATCTTTGTGAACTAAAGAAAAACAAGAAACATTTACTTACATATACCTGTGTGACCATGAAAAGTTCGGAGATGGCGTACATGATGCATTATAATGTAGGTATTATATTTAGATTTGATGTGATGATACTTCAAATTTATTATTTTGTACTAATTATGTACAATTATATATGGCATATGTTAGTATTAACTATTACTATTAGGTATTGTAATACTAGGGCTGTAATTAAACAGGACAACGCCTTGTGCGGTGTTTCGTCTAATAGATATGTTAGTACATAACAACTCAATGGTACTACTCACTGTATTCAAAAATGCAATCTCGAATACCCTTTTTTAATAGATAGAATACATTTATTACTTTAAAGATGAGCTGGCTGAGAACCAATTGCAGATAGGATGAGTTTGAAGTCAGGTCAATTAAACGCTACCATATTTTATGGACAAAGTGCTTCTGCCATTCGTTGGATTTTGTAATATCTACAAAAAAAGATGCAAATCAATACTATATATGCCCATATAATAGATACTGGAGAGTACAGGAAAGTGAAAGCCATAAAAAACATATACTACTGTAATTTTTATACTTAAATAACTGCTAAAGAATCACAGTGTAATCAATATCATAGAAACAAATTATAAGAATAAAAATTTCAAATAAAACAAAATACATATTGGGCATGATTCATATCGTAAGACTATGAATCATACAATTAGCAATTCAATACAATATATGACGTACTAAACCTATCATTATATAACTAGGTACTGCATAATCGAGTCTAAAATGATGTTATAATAGTGAGTCATTTATAAAAGTATACCAGAACATTTAGATTTGGTACATAAATATCAAAACCGAGAAAAGTTTAATATGTGACCTAGGTAGTTAGAGCAAACACAGATTGTAATTTTAGATATACAGGAACACTTATTATATAGAATGCACTGAGAGCGCCTACATTATAAAAAATCATTTTTATATTGAAAAAGTTTATATCTTCCTCAGTATAAAAATATATTATTAATATTTAAAAGACGACAATACATACACATTTTCAGTATCATTAGTACGTTTTTATGCAAAAAGGTACATTATATAGGTAAAATATGAACTATTATGTGGATACACACCTAAACGAACTTTTTATTAAAAAGATTGCCTTACATTAACATACTTTCTTCGGCAGTGTGTAAAATTACTCTTCGAGTCTTTTTTCTTCAGATGGTTACAAAAAGTTACCGTTTTGATACACTAATGTTGTTTTGAATTCTCGGTTAACTATTTTTACTACTATCAACTCGTCAGTCAAGGAATGTTTAACGCAAAAGTAGAAATTCTCGGTAGTGACTTTAATTCCTTGCATACAACCGTCAAGAAATGAGATTGCAGAAATTTCACAGTCAGTCACAGTCAACACCGAGTTTCAATTTAAATGCCACGCCCAAGTAAAGCATAATTAGTCGATAAAAATTGACAGTAGGTAAGACAAAAGTAATATTAATTTTACACAATTTACAAACTAAACTCTAAATTGAAATGCTTGGAAGATCATAAGTATAAACTAATAAGGTACAGGTGATATTGTCCACAATAGTGTGACACAATTCTACTTGAGTACAATACACATAATAAAAATTATAAATTAACAGTATAAAAAGACTAAAATAAAGAGATCCTTCCTGCAATGCAGATTTCATGGACGTATATAATAGTTTCTCATAGTGACACTAAGCATCACCTATATTTTTTATCCATTTGCATAAAGATACATAGTTATTTTTTCACAATTGAAAGTCTTAGGTTAATAATTGTGACATCCCAATAAAAGTGAAAATTTTTACAATTATCTTGTTACAAATCACTTACATTTTCCGCTACTTATCTTTATCGCTATTTCCACCCTTTTTCTTCTGAAAAAAAAAGAACATCACGTCAAACTTCCAATTTAATAAAATATATTTTTGAATTATGTATTAAATTAGTATGTAACTTATAAATATAGCTTCTAGTAATCAACAAACCATGACCATGATAAAACATAATTAAAAGACAGATAACCATTAGTCTTCATGAATGATACACAGTTTTTACATTTTTTATATATTTTGCTCTAGATATATAAGTAGGATAATAAAGAGCAAGTGAAACATCCTTATTTATTTCAAGATTACACCGGAATACATTGTTTACCGTTCGGAAGAAATGTGGCTGTACTTTTTTACAATACCTACGAGGATTACGATAACGACAAAACTCTCGCATTTACTTCCAGGATAATCGAAGGCAATCTTTTAAAGCAGAATGCAGTCCTGCCATCTTATGAAACTGTAATCTATAGATATATGAACATGAAAATCTTTCCACAGTCATCGGCGAAACAGTCATGCCACCTGAACGTGCTAACTAATTGCTATGTTTTGTGTATAATTTTTCTACTCAATACTTGTATACACCATATATAAAGCCATATAAACTGTATTAAAATAAAAACCTTGAAATTTATTATATCTTTATTACTATTTTTGGATATCATTTCATACAATATCTTGTTGTTCTTGAATTATACAGGTCCTGTACTCGATTCTTTCGATAAAATTGCCTCAGAAGATACATCAAAACGAATTATTTTCTTTTTAGTATGATGTCTCTGAAATAAGTATAAAAAAAGTAACCTAACTATATATTTTTATGCAACTAGCCTTTTCATGCGGTTTTGTATTCAAGAATATATTAAGTCTCCATTTGCTTTCTTGATCCCTTCTATAGATTTTTAAAAACTCTGTGCACAATTGTATATTCCCAGACCGATAGGTTTGGACTAACTGAAATAATTATTAATAACTCTACGTTCAACTCAATGTTATAGATATTCAGCGCAATGTCGTGATCCCTTCTACAATTATAATAAAACAAATGTCCTGTTATATATATATACTGTTTTAAATTTGACGCGGTCATTAATCCCGTGATTTTTACTAATTATTATTAATACGTATAATAATAGTTAGTAAAAATCACGGGACCTTACCACGTTTTATATTTATTTGCTGAGTTCCCGATATTTCGCCAAATAAATATAAAACGTGGTAAGATCCCGTGATTTTTACTAATTATACGTATAAATGTCCATTTTTAACCTCGTCTGATGCATCAAATACAAAATCTGGTCAATTGTCTCGACATGAAGATACATACAGACAAATTCTCTAAATAGCTGATTTAGATCATTTCTTGCGTTTTTATTATATTGTAATATATGAAGAAAGTATTTTAATTACCTTATCTTTAGCTCTTGGATCTGTGTTTTTGGACCGTTCCTTTTCAAGATCAGTATGTAAAGATGCCAGTTCGGCTGTAAGCTCTGCCTGCACAGCACGCAACCGTTCCACTTCAACTAACACCTCCGCTTTATCTTTCACTGTAACATTGAATAATACCATAGTTAGCAAAATGTGTCATCCTTATTAACTATATAATTTATAAACTATTATTATATACTTATAATAATAGTTTATAAATATTATTATATCTCAGGATAATTAACAGTATATATTGGACAATTGATATAAATACATGGATACATTTTTTTTGTAAATACATACACATTTTTACATAGAAATCACACAGACCGATACACAGAATCATGCTCATGAATACAAAAGTATGTAGCATACGTGGAATCGAACCCACGACCATTGAAAGTAGGGTGGTGTGCTAAATCGCTAGACCACCAAGGCTGTCGTCGAACATTGAGTACAACTGACTATTTTGGGGGTAAGGGGATTGTTAGTACTATGGACCCATGACCATATTACTAGCATGTACCATGTCAGGTTGACCTCCACGCGGTTCTCCCTGGAAACCATCATGATAAATTCCTGGTGAATTTGTCACGATGGGCTAACTGACCTGACCTTATCTTCATCTTATCATCCTCCATGGATGCCCCGCCAGTGTAAACCGTTGGCGCAGGAGAATGGACCTTTTTTTATTTTTTAGGCATGGTAATGGAATGCCATTACCATGCCTAAAAAATAAAAAAAAACTGACTATTTTTTTTCTATTTATGTATACTATATAAAAGTATACATCATCATCAAACCACTGCTGGACATAGGCCTCTCCCAAGGCACGCCACTGGGCACGATCTTCAGCCCTTCTCATCCACTTACTACCCGCAACCCTACGTATGTCATCGCTCCACCTAACTGCGGGGCGTCCTACACTATGTTTGCCAATTCAAAAAAGTATACATATAAAGAAAAAAATAAATTAAGCTTTACTATTTTTTTTTTCTTTATTTGTCATTTAAACAAATAGTAGATGCATTTTATTGAAATTATCTGATTATAAATAAATTTAAATCAGGTGTTTTAGTTTAAATTAAAATTTCTACATAAGACAAACTAAATAATCAAATAACAAAGCTCATGACTAACTCTACAAAAGACAACACAGAAATCGATGGAAACAGCTTATAGTATTATAAAATACTATGTTTATCTAAATCAAATTATCTCCCCGGAAAACTTATGGCCAAAGAAATTAACAAAAGTATTGCTACCGGATAAATAAATGCTGATCCCTAAAAGAAATAATGTAGAGTAAAGATGAAAATCCCATACCCATATGTACATATAAATCTGCCTTCTGTCTGAAAGAAAAATATTGGCAGTCACAAAGAAATAAGTATGATGAGGATCAGTCTAATAAACATATACTTGACAAAATCGCAAGAGGAGATAAGAAGGAAAAATAATGTATATAACAAATATAATTATTATCGGGTATAGACAATTTGAAATGGATAGTGCCTCGGTGCCAGCCTGCATTGGTGACCCGCCGGCGTATGCCGTATCATCCGTAAAAAATACCTCCATTTCAAATGATAGAGAGATAACAAGTGTATGAGGCACGCGAGTTGCTCGACATTTTATACGACTCCTGATTTAGATAATGCTGTAATTACATATTGCTGTAATACCTGATGCTGAACATAAATTAAACAAAAACGACATTATTTCTTACTTTTTAAAAATTAACATTTTCATTGCATCAAACACCTTTTCATAATTATTGGGTCAGAGCTAAACATTAAAAGGTTTCCAGCTTTAGTACTAAGTGGATGTGACCGTCACACAACCAGTAATATTTTTTATTGTCACTGTATATACACACCATAAAATATGAATGTCAACAATAAACAAAGTATTGAAAAAGTACATCATAATATCAAGCACTGGTTACAGTAGGATTTACTTTTTATATATTTTTTATGTTTTGAGTGGAGAAAGGGTAACCGTATAACAAAGACTTCTTTATGCATTTTCGTAGGTCTTGCCACCAAGGCAATTCATTTGGAGGTTGTCAATGACTTGACCAGTGAATCCTATCTATCATCCTTACGAATTTGTTGTTGTTTGTATTAGCGTCGAGGCAAACCCTACGTGAACTATACCAATAATGTCAAGAGTTTTGTAGGTACAAACAAAGATTTAGGAAGAATTTTACGATCCAGCTGGCAATCAATCGTGGATTACGCTACTAACTAGGGTATACATTTACAATTTTCTCCCGCTTAATAAAACCCTACTTCTAGTATGTGGAAGAGTATGTTTACCTGGGACAAATGGTGTCTTGTAGAGATCAGACAGATAAAGAAACACACAAAAGAATAGCCAGTAGATGAAAGACATTTAATACTTGCATTCTGCCGTGTCTAACATACCGATGCAAAACATGGGCTGTTGTAGTGGGTTTTTTTTTGTGTTGAGATGATATGCTAAACAATAAATATTATGTTTGTTTACAGAATTGTATTGCTTTTAATATTTTTTAAGGAATAGAGGAGGCCTTTGCCATAAGGCACTCTGTACTGTGGGATATAATATCAATAATTAAACCAAACCAAATTACTCAACAATTGTGCAATAGGAATGAACATCATATGTAACAAAAATAAAAAAGAAAATGTATTGAAAAGTGCAGAAATAAAGGCTTCTTTATCTTTACTTTAATCACTCTACTTCGGAGACATATATGAGGCAGCGGTGAAACTTACGAAATTATATGACGGCTTCGGTGGTCTAGCGGTTTAGCACACCGCTTTACTTCGGATGGCCGCGGGTTCGATTCCTCGCAAGTGCAAACATTTGTATTCATGAGTATGATTGTTTGTATCCGTCTGGGTATTTTCTATGTATAGTACATATGTATAAATAAAATAAAATGGGACTAGATGGAGCTGTGTTATATTCATTATATATATATTAGTGATATTTATTCATTATTATTATATCGCATTATAAAACAAGTTGTTTTAATATACAACAGATGTGTAGGTATTTAAGTATAATTTTATGGGATGACATGTGAATCATATAAAAATAGGGATAGATAATGGAAAAAATGTATTTTTGGAATTAAATGATGAAGTTTGTAAATTCTTACTTTGAATTAGTTATAGTTTTATTAAATTACTGAGTTGGAAAGAAAAACACTATTGACATTTCATGACTGTAAATATTAATAACTTTGGTGACAAGTAACTCACTTTCCCCCTGTCCAAGAATATTGCATAGTTTTTTATTTCTTGACTTAACTGTCCAGAGTTCCTGTTTAAGTGTAGTGATCTCTTGCCTCAAAGAAGCTATTTCAATATCTTTTTTTTCAAGCGCATCTGCATAGTGAACCTTAGAAATTATTCGATCTGGTAAAGTTTGTCCATATCGAACTCTATCATTGACTCTGACTTTTAATAATTCATTCTTAGCATCATCTTTAATCCTTTCAAAAAATTCTTTATCTTTGCTTATAGAGATGGGATTTTCATCATTATCTTTGTTGTCATCATGTATAACTGTAACAAAAGAAACATTTCACAAGATGTTTTTTTTACAGAAAGAGTCACTTACTAAATAAATACTTAGATATCTATATATTTCATATAATAAAACTGAATATTTTTTTATATATGTCATTTATTGAATATGCATACAACTGTATGTGTCATTGTTTTTTATTTTCACCCTCACTATCATAGCTTTTTGTCAAAACAGTCAATTATATGTGGGGTATTTAATTATAGTTAGTCTGTATCTGTCTGTACAGTACCAAGGAAGAGTATTCATATTAAAACATGATCTTTGTGTGTAAACATGTTTCAATCCATAAGTTATTATCTATTTTTTCCCCAACTTAATAAAAATAATTGAATCTTGTGGAATTAAACTGCACATATTCTACTTACATTTAGGTTCATCACCAGCATTCACTAAATCATTAAACTGGTCCAGACTCATGACATTTTTCTTTCTTAATTTCTTAGAGCCTGCTCGATCATTGTTCTCTCCCACTTTCTTCTTAACTTCTGCTTCTTTTTTTATTTGTTTATAACCATCCTTTTTTGCTTCATAATCAAGTTTAGATAAAATTATAGCCTGGAATTATTATTGATTTCAATATGACTCCTTAATTAATTAAATTTAGATTGACAAAAATCTCAATTTTTTATTATATATTCAATAAATAGATTTTCGAGAGATTACATAGGTACCATACCTGTTCTAATTCTGTCTCAAAGTTACCATCAACAAGTTCTTCATCTTTCTGTTTCCACTGTTCCCATTGCTCTGCAGATGGAGTGTTCTGCTTGGATTTCTTCTTCTTAGGAACGGTCTATAAAAGTAAAAAGTGGGATAATAAACCAAATAAATAATTATACATTTATTGATGAAGCAAAACTTATATTTTAGTTATGCAACCAAAACTACCAACCATAGAGTATAGGTATAACAAAGTGGATCAAGAGAGATCAAGAAAGTGGATCAAAAAAATTTAATACAAGAAAGGACTACATTAAATATAAAGGATAATCATCATCATCATTTTAATAAAGAAACTTTCAGTAGTAACCTTGGACAGCATTCTATAACCTGATGTTTACTGAACATTTTTTGTTAGAACATTCACAATTGTGAGTACAATAAAGCATACATTGCAGTGTCACAGGTACATATAATAAAGAAGTACTAGAAATAATAATGATAGACAAAATAATGTTAAGAAAATTATGACTCTCACAAAACAAGGCCTGTGGGTCAAAACAATATACAGAATCTGCTTAGGTGATTTTTTGTGAACCACACAAACCAAACATCTCACTATAATGGGGTAGATAAATTAAACTAGTTACCAGAAATAGACACCTACAAATTTCTCTCTTCTTGACTTGATTACTACACACCTCATCTCGTTGATTTTAACCAATGCCCAATTGTTACTTTATTTTTACATTACATTGGGAATATATCAAATTAAAATATTTTCTTTAAAATCTAAGTACATCATTACTTTTAGGGACATGATATAGTAAGAGATGTCCTCCTACTACTCCTCCTGTACTCTACTTTCAACTGTTGAAGATTAATGTAAATACCTACAAATAGTACTGAACCAAGTAATTTTGTTTAAAAATACTAAATCACAATTTGTTTATCAACAACTAAAGGTACAATTATACAGACAGTTTAGGCTGAGGTTTACAACATAATTAATTTATTATATCATTGTGCATATTATAACTTTAAATAAAATATTTTTTTATGTTGAAACTTGTTGCTTAAGTATTTATTATTTCATCGTATTTAAACTTACCTGGGACTTGTTGTTGGGTTTAATTTTTTTTGGGGGTTCAGCCTTCTTGGCAGTGTTTATTTTACTTTTCTTTGACTTCTGACTGTCCCCAGTTGAAGAATGATCATCATCTTCAATTTTCAAACCAGCAAAACGCGACTGCACTACTAATGCTGCCATTTTTCGATATCGAATTAAATCTATTATAAAATATAAAAATATTAGAAACTAAATTTTAGACATTATTAAAATTCTGTTCGGAATATTTTTATTGTTTTAAACATATTTATGTAAACAACAGTATCTTTTTTATTCAACACAATAAATACATAATATTTGAGTCCATAAAATCTTATACCTGCTTCAATTACACCGATAACAAATTTTTAATTACTTATCAATTTCAATAGGATTATTATTATGGTGATATTCAGGATATCTGAGAAAATATAATAACAAATTTTAATTGAGTAGGTAAGAATAGAGCACATACAAGTATGTAATGAAATAGGTATATATATCTATTATTTGTCGTTGTCTTTATTTATCTGTGGATATGCCCATATCAGGGTTGCCAACCTTGAAATAAAGGACGATTCTTCTTCTGTTTCTGATCTCGGAAAATGTTAAATTTTCAAATAATGTCACCAACTGTAGTTGGGGCAGTGCTATACCTGCAATATTAATTTAATGAGTCATATTGATTTATATTAGAAGATTAATTTTATAACTTTTACATAATTTTTACAATACCTACTTTGTATTAAATAACACCAAAATACATATTTGCAGATTCCGTGCATGTAGTAATTTTTATTTTTTTGGGTGAAAAAATTTAATACAAGAATTGTTATGTTTATGGTTTTATATTTAATATTAAAATGTTATGAATTAAAAACATCGATTATTTATGGAAAATAATAATATTTTTTTATATTCTTACGTATGTTGTCAGCGCGACATTAGTTTACAGATCTGTGGTTTACTAAAGTTTATCTTCCTTTATTTCATGTTTGAATTAGGTGCTCTTGAGTAGTATATTCTTTGATTAGGTGTTTTGAATATTTGTTCGCAATCCCATATCGTTATTCCGTTTTCCGTTATTTCTTTTCATTAATGTTTTAAAAGTACTAAAAAATATTTTCAAGTTTATTTAAATATATTGTATCAATTTAACTACTAACCATGAAATTACAATGTCAAATATGTATTATAAATAGATTACACAGTAATTTTAACGTAAAAACCAGCGGCAAATATTTAAAGTCAACATTAGCTTTAGGCAAGGAACTTACAGAACAAAATGAATACTTTTTATTACATTTTTCGTCCTTAAATAAAACTGGAATCAAATATCGTGTAAAGAATATGACGAAAGTTTTTGTAAAATGTTTAAGTGAAGGTAAAGCAACTTTGAGGTTTGAAGACCCACCTCACGATTTGTGCATAAAAGGCGAATCAATCCAGTTGAAATGTTTCATGCGACTATTGAAATCCTGCGTGACTGGGGATGTAAAGGAGCAACAATTGTCTAATTTGTGTAATATTAGTGTTACTACCAAAGACAGTGTTCCAACCAAACTTATAATTAATGACCGTAGTGAATTCCCTTCCAAAGGACTACCACGTACATTAGAAACTCTACACATTAATGGTCTAAGACTGTGCAACTTTCGTAGAGAAATTTTACTATTGAAACACTTAGTAATTCTTGATTTAAGCAACAATGAAATTGAAAATATTCCACCAGAATTTGGTAAGTTTCAAATTAAGTAATAGTTTTATATTAGTATTATTAAAATATTCATATTATAAAAACAATTAATTAATATTTATGTGTTAAAGGTAGAATGCCGTGTTTAAGTGAATTATATGTAGCCAACAATAAACTTGGTGCAAAAGAAAAAGTTGATTGGAGGTGGCTCTTTGGTCCTCAGGTATATATGAAAATTCATTTATATAAAAAAAACATCTATTTAAAAGAGCAACACACAAATTTGTTGCTCATTCTTCTTGTGATGAGTCTGTATTATGAATGAGTGGTACAATAAAAAATATGACTATTCAAAACTCAGTACAAGTTTATTTGAATAAAGAATATATCTGTTTTTATTATAATAATAATATAGTTATGTGAATTATATTATATTAGAAAATTAATCAAATTTATTCTTGAATTGTGTATTTACAGCTTATAAAAATGTTAAAACTCCTGGATTTGTCAGGAAATAACTTAAAAAGTCTGCCAAAATCAATTTGGAAAATACAAAAATTAGTCACATTGAAGCTTGACAATAACTTGCTACAGCGATTGCCTGCTGCTCTAGGTCGTATAAACTGTTTGAGGTAAATTATCATTACTTACTTCTTTCTACCTATATACAACTACACTGGATGTTGGCAATGCTGATTGTATAAATAGGTATCAACTATTTTCAAATTTTTAAACAAGGCTTTTCTCACTTTGCCATGCTGCTTAGGTATGTTATTAATAATTTTTTTTATTGACATATTTCATGTGTACACCTTTGTGCAAAATGTAGTTGTTCTCATATTATACAACAAGCTAGTCATTCATCCCAATATTTATCTATAAGGGTTAAGCAACATAAAATTAAATTGCATGGCCCAAATTCTAATTAAGTTTGTTTTACCATAAGATTTACCATTTTTTTTTTCATTTACCATGGACTGTGACAAATACTGTGTGCTCATTTTTTCAGATATTTAACAATTTCAAAAAATAAGCTGTCAGCACTCCCCTGCAGTCTAATGCAGTGTCATTTGGAATATATTGATCTCTCATCTAACAGCTTCCATCATACAGATGTTTCAGTAGAATTAAATAGAAATAGTGATTGGAAATGTTACATAAGCAGTTTACTACATCTGTCATCTGAGGTTGTATTAAGAAACAAGTTTTACTATGCACCTAATCTTATTCCTTTGACATTAGTCCAGTTCTTGGATGATGCAAATATGTGTGTGTGTGGTGCTCCAGTCGTGAATGACAAGTTGTATATAAATAAAAAATTTGAATTAAAAGATTTTTTTCGAATTGTAGTTTTTGATAATAATAGAAACAGTGCTGTCGATTTTGAATGTTACTTTTGCTGTAAGTGTCGAAAGCGGTAATTATTTATATAATAAATAAAATATTTTTATTCATGTATTAAAATATCTGTAACTATGTTAAATTATTGCTTAAATAAAACATAATAAACATTATAAATTATTTTTAATAAAACTGAACCATTTTAACAGAGTTTAATGAATAATTTTAGTCAAAATCAAGTTTCCAATTTATGTCTGAGATGATAGGGCTTATTCTGATATGAGGTTCTGGAAAAAAAATATATTAACACATTAATCATAATGTGGGATTGATATCTAATGGTACAACTGATGATTTTTAAAAACTATCTCATTAGCTAAAATAAATAACATTTATATAGATTCACCAGACCACACTCACCTAGAGATGCAATACCCTGTGGTATTACATTACTGCCCTCAGGGATATTTTGAGCTACAATGGAAGCATTGGTAGCTTCTATTACTAGTTCATTAGTCCAAATATCTCTTAGGCTGTCTTTCATAATTGTGAGTAATTTTTCAAGTAATGTCTGTAACAAACCACAGATTGAATGGATAAAATTCGCTGTACATTAAAAATGTAGCCAAAAGTTTAAGTCAACATATTTCTTTTTATTATAACTCAAACACAACATTAAAACAATACATTACATATTTTGATTGTAACACTTTCAAATCGTGCATATTAATTTCGAATGAAATTTTGTACTTATATTCCAAATTAAATAATTTTATTTTGGACTTATTAAAGTAGTGCAGAGTCATAAACTGTTTGTTTTAAAGTTTCAAGTAATAATATTAAAACTTCAAATTATATTCTTCTTTCAATAGCATATATTTGTCCAGTAAATGACTTTATATTTATTTTTGCTTTGATTAAGATCAATAATTGCCTACAATTGTAACCGCATATGAAGTCGCAGGGAGAAAATAAGTAATTTTCCAACTTCAGTCTGTAAAATGAAAGCGTGTCTTGTCCAGGTCGGCATCCTCAAATCAAATGTTGTGGTCTTCCTGATATCATCGGACCATCTGGCAGTTGGTCTGCTCTACGCTTCTGCTTCCCATCCTATGGAAAAAATAGTGTTTATATATTATTTTAAGGATCTGTATACTAAATATGCAATTTTTTTTCCATCTGTTGTCTTTTCTTATTCGGCATACATGACCATTGCCCCAAATAATTATCACAAAAACATTTATTTAGCTGCGCGATTCTTTGGATGATGTCGGTAACCCCAGTGCGCCTTTTTATCTCAGTATTCCGCAATATTTCAGCTAAAAATATTCAGTAGGGAGATACCGAGCGAAAATAGATCGCTCCATTGCTCTTTGGGTTTTGACTTGTAGGCTTGTTGACCTATTCGGCGGTTAGAGTCCACGTTTCGCAAGCGTATGTAAAAAAATCACTGAAAATTTTCGGAGAACGCATTTGGTACATATATAGCTTTGTTTTTAAAGTTTGCAATGGAGGATCTTGGATTTAAAAACATTTTTAGTTTAAAAACTATTAAAATAAACTTACGCTCAATCCATCCTAGCTGAATTCGCCTATCTAACTCTGCATCCAATTGGACTCTGTATCTAGTTGGACTTCCTGGCCTAGATAGATGTATTCTTCCACGTGTTCTCAACAAGCTTGGTTCCCATAATGAATTGAAACCGATATAAAGTTTGAGGGACCCATCCAATTAGTCTTTAGGAGCGAAAGGGCAGATTCATCTTTAGTCTCTGCCTAAACAACGACCAGATACTTCGATAAATCTTCGAAAACCGGTTTGATAGCTTCTTGAGCATTTTAGCTAAGTTTTCTGGGTTTTCTGCTTCAACAGCACAATATCGTCGGACGAAACGGAGGTGGTTTAGGTATTCAAGCGACCGTCGATGTTTAGAATTTTGTAATTTCTTGGATACTTTATCAGTAAGTTCAAGCTCCTTTTCCTATTCCTTTATTGGTTTTATCCTTTTTAACAGCCCGAAGTCGTGTATCCTCTTTTTAAACCCACACATTTCACAAATTATATAGTGAAACATGGGTTAGCATGTGTTCAATATGCCAACTACTATTTTACTTATTTATTTATATTAAAAAATACAGTAAATGACTTTATATTTATTTTTGTCCTTTGATTAAGATCAATAATTAGCGCCTACAATTGTAACCGCATATGAAGTCGCAGGGAGAAAATAAGTAATTAATAATCTAACAACTTATACCTGTAAAATGAAAGCTTCTTCATCCTTTTCAAAGCAACATAAAGCTAAGTTAACTTCTTTTATGGGCATCCTCAAATCAAATGTTGTGGTGACCAGGTTATGAAGGGTCATTACTAGGGCGATATCTTCGTACTGCGAACCTTCTTTCAGTGATGCTACTTTACGCTCATGCTTTCTTCTGTTCTTACTTGAACGGAAACTTCGGCTATGGAAAAAATAGTGTTTATATATTATTTTGATCAAACGTATGATTTTATTACACTGTATACTAAATAAGTGTAGCAATTTTTTTTCCATGTGATATTTACTTTTTCTTATTTTACTTAACCAATGCAAAACAAATACATTGCCCCAAATAATTATCACAAAAACATTTATTTTAATGTATAATACAACTGTTACCAAATGAAATGCTATAATTTGGATTTATATGATAATATAAACATTACCTTGACCCTCTGGACGAAGAAGCCAATGTACTGCCGGCATCAGAATATAAATCACTGTCTCTATTAGTATAGGAGAAATCATAGTTATCAGTTGCAGAAGTCTTGATTTTGTTTTCTCTTACTATAAATAATCTCTCTTTGTATTTCACAAAATCGCTGCAATTTTTTTCTATTAAATTTTTTAAATTTTTGTATTCATCTAACAAAGTTGGCAAAATACGTTCAGCTACAAACAATATTTTTATATTAGAAACGCATAGTATTGCATATTAAAGATTTTTTTTCTAGTGAAACTAGTAGATAATATTTATTAATATTACTTTTAAATTATGTAACACAAGTAGGTACTGCTTACTTACGTCAATAAAAGATACATAATATGTAAATAAAAATATAATGAATGATCTAATATTGTAATCATTAAAAATATTTTAAAATAGCATTAAAGACCTTATGGGACCATTTGTAAATCCAAATATTCCTAATTTATATAATGCATTTTTAAATTACTAATATTTGATTGATCATTGTAAGGGAAGTCTTGACTAAATGAAGATACCACGGAACAAGGGCATAACTAATTATAATCGAATTTTGAAGCTATTTCTTTTAGAAATCTGCTTAAAACTGCATTTAATTACTTACTTTTCAAGTGAAACAAGTTGTACTGAGTGCACAGTCTTAAAGCAGTTTTATATTGACTGTTTTCTATAGCGTAATTAATTGCTTCTTCATGATTCTCGTAATATTGTTCAAAGATTTTTAAAGCTTCATGGTGGCGCTTTTCTTCTTTTAGTCCATTAATAAGATCACTAAAATTATAAAAATAATATTTACTGGAACATGTTTCTTCATTACTTAGTGAATTTTATTGGTGATGTTTAACAACTTCTTCAGGAACAAGTAAGCCGTGTTTATGTGAACTAGCTTCCCTTTTTGTCTTTTGACACATACATGGAACACATAATATGTAATATTTTCTGACATACTTGCGGCCCAAAAAAATAGTAAGTATAATCTTACTATTTTTTTGTGACAAACTCAATTAGGAATTATTTTCTAGATACTTTGGGTGGAAAGGCTTAGTCTAAGCTCTTATGCTAAATAAAAAAAAGTTAAGCCACGCGGACGAAGTCGCGAGTAACAACTAGTACATAAATATAACTAAAATTAGAGTAAAAGAGTAACAAACATGCAAAACATAATTTTCGCGTTTATAACATTAGTTAGGATAGCTTTTTTTAAAGCTAATAAATTGATTATAGCTATACTTACCCACATACATTTTTAAGCTTTTCCTTAGACCAGCAATGAGCAACTTTTATGGCCAATTCCCACTCCAAAGCCTCTTTGTAACATTCGACAGCCTTTTCACTGTTGTTAGCTCGTTCATAAATAATACCAGCCTTTATGAATTCTTTTTTCAATTTTAGATAGAGTCCAAAATCATCTGATATATCTTTGTAGACATCTTCATCAGGAGAAAGAAGTGATAATGCTTCCCTATAGAGACTATGATATTTCACAAATGTCTTCAGCTGATCATATTTCTCAGGTCCACATTTAACAAGATATTGTATTGCTTTACTAAATTTCTTCAAATGTTTATTTATTGTAAATCTCCTATAGTTTTCATCCATTTCATTTAATTCATTCAGCATTGGTACATACTCTTTAGGATCCTTTTGAGACTTAGTAGCAACTAATAAAACTAAGTCAAAATCGTACATTCCAAGGGCTACATCGAAAAGACGATTCACATCAACCATATATAACAAATATTTTAATGCTTCATCAGATCCCACACATAGTTTCAAACCACCCGACTCTTTAATTTTTAAATCTTTTATCAGAGATAAGGCAGTTTCTAAATCTTCAACCGTATTTTTCTTAACAAAAGCAGTAAGTAATGGTAATATTTTACTATCAGCATCAGACCTCTGTGTTAAATGCATTCTAATGATGTCACATATTTTTTTAATTTTGTTACCTATTTCATAGTTTGCTGTAGTCATTTTGTCCGCATAGCTACTGGAATACATTGTTTTTGTAACATCCACATTTTCCAGATCAGACAAAAAAAGGCTCAGCCAAGAATTATTTGTGATTGATTGTAAAAATACATCTATATCTTTAATAAACTGCTCTGGATTGTGATCATATATCAAATTTAAATTTATTCTTTGCTTTCTCATTAAATCAAATGCCTCATTATATTTCAAAGAATTTAGATATTCTCCTATGACCTTAAGTGCCAAAGGTCGAGGCTGTATACATTCTAAATTACCTCTTGGCAATTGAAAAATAGTTCTTATATCATTAGGTACAGCAATAATTAATTTTGCACCTCTTTCAATTTTTCTCTTATATATATATTCAGATTGAGTCTTCTGATATTCCATAATGGCAGATATTCCAGATTTTGTTAATTCAACACACAACAGAAGATGTTGCAATGTTGTGATGAGTAGAAAATGAGTGTGAATAAAAAAAGAACTAACATTATTTAATGCTATTGCACCATTTATCAATAAATTACCTTTGTGTGAAAGACCTATAAAATACAAGTCCTCTTTTATTGAAATTATATTGAAGTTTGGACATGTCACAGGAAACATAATATTCTGTATTTCTAACTTTTCTTTAGTATACCATAGTATCTCTCCGTTTCTCAATTGTAAAAATACCGATGTGGAGTCTGTAGGGTGTGACTGAATTCTTGTTACTGCTTCTGGTAAAGGTGTTACATTTTCTTTTTTGATTTTGTCATCTTCTATATTATATTCCACTAAATGATAACCATGTTCATTGTCCATCATAACACACATTAGCATGTTAGGTTTAATCCAATACCAATTGTAATATTTAAATAATAAATCATATTTATCGAGTTGTATAATTTTTATTACTTCTAATTTTAAAGGAAACTTTTGTGTTTGTTCATAAAATACTAGAGTATGGTCAGCAGTATAAACAAAAAACCTGTTAGTTTTCCTATACTCATCATTTATTGCACATGGAGCAAAGTGTATAGAATTAATAAAGGATTCACACTTTATTTCTGTGGCAGCCATTGGAGGTGGTACCACATTTTGCCTAAAACCTGTGACTAATATTTTCGGTCCATCAATAACTGCAACTAGAGCATCATCTTTATCAGTTTGTCCTGTACTATGATCAACATTCCAAATCCATGAATATGTAAAATGTTGCCCATTATCTAGGATAATATGTAACTTTTTACTATTAGCAACATCAAAGTTGTTATCCCAAATAATTTTAGATATTTGTTGATTAGGATTGAACTCCAATGTTTGTTTCAAATACCAGTGATAGTTGCCTGTTGTGAATAGTAATAACTTCTGATAATTTGTATCTATCTCTCTGCACTGTAATGTCAATATTTCAGAGTCAGAACTCCAAGCTAATTGTTCTACACAAGTTGTAGCATTTACTGGTATAATAAACTCACCATGTTTCAGACCATTCTTTTCAAAAAATGTTACAACATATTTATCCGATAGTCTTTGAGTTGTAGCAATGACATTACCACTAGGACGCCATGCCAAATTACTTTCAAGACCTTGTTGTTTCTCACTTGTGTATTGCAAATTACCTTCTCTATCAAAAACTTTAAATCGTCTTATGCCATCCATGGTAAAGCCAATAGCATATAGATGGCCATCACCCCTCCAGGTTATTCTGACAGTATTGTTAGAACTGGTATTAGCATCTAGAAATTTAATATTTATATAATAAAAGTGAAAATGATGAATGAAAGAAAACTTATTATGAACAATCTATTTATTACATGGACTTTAATGCTTTCTCTGATAAAAAACAAATTATGTCTACCCTAAGAATAAAATCTATCTTCATATCAAATTTAATTAAGATTGATACAAATGTTCCATTTCATGCAATAAAAACAGAAAGGGACAATTTGACCACATATTATTAATGAGGATTGTATCTCACCTGCAATTATTTCAGACTTTAATTTTGCAGCTTGTTTGCCTTCAGATCCATGAAACTGTGTTTCTTTTTTACCCCATCCAACAGTAATAAACTGCTTTAGTCCAAATTCTTCATTCAAAAGGTCTACTTCATTCATAGGATCAAAAGTACAGGACATAAGAATGGTTTTCAAGTTTTTTGTTACCAAAACAAGTAGTTCTTGATCAGGGCTCCACTCCATAACCTAACAAAAAAAAATATTTAAACAAGAAAATATAATAATAATATGGAGAATTCACACAGTATCCAGTTAAGCAGACCTAATCTTGTGTTGTGGGTACTAGACAACTGATATAAGTACATGTACATAAAGATTTTTATTTATAAATAAATACATGTGGGGTGCGCCTGGTGTTTAGGCACGATACTCTTGTTCACGACTATTGTAAATATTTGTTTGTTGTTAGCTTAATAAAATTTATTATTTGTAGTAATTTTAATTCCCCTATAGGTATATCATAAGAATTAAATATAATTCATTTTATTGTATATAAATTGTATGTAAAGTTTAAATTAATAAATAAAGAAGCGAGTAGAGGTGGTCCTCTTCACGCTCTCCGTCCCGCTCGCACCTATGTGCGTAACACAATCGTTACGCACATTGGTACTCGTAACACGGTGCAAGCGGGCGGAGTATAAATAGAGGTGCCGAACGCAGCACAATTAATTCCGCTTCCATTGCTATTGCAGACCACCAAACTCTGCTCGACGAGACAATATTCCAATTGTTTTCTTGTTTCCACCTACACCCGCATCCCTACAAACAAGTACGGGGCTAGACTCCCGTACAGCTCTTATTCATTAATAAGATGATGATATGGTTTAAACACGGGCGCGTAAGCAGATGTAGACAACAAGGAGCTTATTATCGAAAGATGTGAGCTTTGCAGTAACCTTTGAAACCAACTAACTTACTAGTCGCTGTGGTCGTATTGTTTACATTTGAAATTTGATTTGTTTACATTACAAACATATTATTGTGTAATAGCAATTGCACCCACAACCCTCCATCAGAAGAATAGTGGTGTGTCCTAACCACTAAGCCGTAGAGACCAATCAAATTATTATATGTACTATTTCATCATCATCCATAAAAAAATATTTATGAATATGGTCTGCTCAAAAATATACAGAGAAAATAGTAACTTACCGATAATCCAACATCAAACACGCCAGCCAAGTCACAGGTTTTACCAGAGTCACTAATAGTGAACAATTCACCATTTTTAAGCGCTACACACAATGTATTTGGAAGAGTCAGATACGTTAAATTAACAGAATAGTTATTAGGAGACGAGGTGCCACTAAGATCCACGTTCCATTTGATGTCACCATTCCCATTATAACAGCTCACAACAAGGTTATGTGAACAAACATACAAATCACCAGACGAATTGATTCCGTCATGTCCATAGTAAACTGTCTGTAGACCTTTAGATTCAACTGGAATGTTTCCATTAGATATATCCCAGAGATGTAAATTTCTCATGATTGGCGTAAATAAATTTGCAATAATACAGATTGTTTCACCTTCTCAATAATGTACAAAACTACTACACAAATAGAAAAAACTGGTAATGAAGTAATTAGCAACTAGCACGATTTAAGTTAATTTTTTCCTTAAAACCTATTATGTATTTATTTAATCAAAAATGAAATAATTGCGTGAGTGGAATAACCAATAAGTTTTTTTTAAATATTTCAAATGTCAGTAACAAAAGTTTTAAGAGACGATACTAGAGATGTTCACTTGAGTTACCAACCTCTAACCCCAGTTAATCGAGTTGCGCTGAATTCGAGTTAATCTCCCAACTCGAGTAAGCGAAACAAGTGAAAGAGCGAGAGCGTGATTCGATCGTCGAACCGACAATGACATGAAGTTTTCCGATCACTTCACATCGTACAATATTCCCTTGCCATAAATATATTATCGTTAAAATTATTAAATTAACGGTTGTCAGTTTTCATTTGTTTGTTGTTTTTAAATACTTAGTATATTTTTATTAATGTCTGGACAAATTCCTTGTTTAGGACATTTTCGAATCGCTAATGAGTAGAGGTGTAAAATGCAATACATGCTCGGATTCACTTTAACTTTTTTTTTTTTTTTTTCTTTATGGCTTGGCACGTCTGTGCATTTGCCAATATACAAAATTTGGGAAACAGTAGTTCAGGTAAAGGAAATTTTGGACGATAGGTTTAAAGGATCAGGTAAGTTGACAATAGGATTAATTATAAGGATTAGACTAAGGTACTACACTATACATATTAATTATATACAATATGTCATTATACTTATATAAGACCTTAATATATTAACAGACAACTATTTACATATGATATATTTATATAGAGGCAGTCAGTTTTATATTTACAATTTTATATTATTACTACTTAGAAAAATCGAAATACTTTTATACACATCAATATCATTAAGATATAATAAAATTGGAATTGATGTAGGTAAAGGAATTCGGTGAGATAGGAGATCATTAAAAAGGTAGGAATGATCATACAGAGGACAACTGAAAATGATATGGTTCAAGTCACCCACTTCTGTACCACAGCTACATATATCATTATCTACAATTTTTAGCTTAGCTAGATGTGCAGGAGAGCATACATGCCCCAATCTCATTCTAATTATTGACGTAGTCTCGCTTTTGTTCAAATTAATTTTGAAGAACCAAGGTTTAAACTGAATAGTTGGTTGAATGTTAAAATAATGTCGTGCCTTATTCTGGCAGCTATTAGACCAAAATTCACTCCAAGCATTATGTAGATATAATCCTGGGAGAGCAGCCAGATCATGACAATAATTTTTATATGGAACAATATCACCGCATCCAATTGCCTCGTTCGCTAAGCGATCTGCTATCTCATTCCCATGTATGCCAGTATGTCCTGGAATCCACGTAAGCGAGACAGAGAACCCCCTCGAGTTACATAACTGCAGCAATTTTCTGATTTCTATGATAATAGGATAATTAATATTTGATTTAAATGGAAATTTTTGAAGAGCTAACAGTGCACTTCTGGAATCAGTACACACTATTGTTTGCTGAAGTTTCATAATTAATATATATTCGAGAGCTTTGTAAATACCAAAACATTCACCAGTAAATACAGATGTTTCTGGAGGAAGTTTTATTTTTTGGACTATTTTATATTTTGAATGGTCCGATCCCAACACATCCAGTTGGATGATGTTTAGATGCATCACAAAAAATTCGGTGCCAATTCCGCCATTTCTTGTCTACAGTTGAGTTAAATTCTATATTTGAGTCGTGATTTTTATGAATATTAAGGTCAAAAATTATACTTGGTTCAAGAATTAATGATTCATAATTCGTACAGAAGATGGGAAAATATTGTGAACGATGAGTAGGAGATGTAAGAGATGAAAATTTCTGGAAGCTCTTTATAATACAAGGAATAGATTTATGGCGCCAGTATTCAGAATTATTAATATAATTAGATAATAATTTTAATTTACTAAATAGGGGATGAGTAGTACATTGTGCACTGCGAAATAAAAATTTATCAGAAAGATATTGACGTCTTAAATACAATGGCGGATCTGAGCATTCCACTTGCAATGCATTTATAGGGCTTGATCGCATAGCCCTAGTTACAATTCGTAAAGCCTTTGATTGTATGCCATCCAGTTTTTTAAGACCAGCTGAGCTACCCGGCTCTAGTAGAAATGTGCCGTAATCCAATATACTTCTAATAATGGCGTTATATAACAGTTTGAGTGAACACGGATGAGCGCCCCACCAAGTTCCAGACAAACATCGAAGAATATTTAATAATCGTTCACATCTTAAAGTAATGTATTCGCAATGGGGAAGTCCACTTAGTTTTGAATCTAGTATTACTCCTAAAAATTTGCTTTGACTTTTTACAGGTAAAAGACAATTATTATAATATATAGAAATAGGAGGAGGCATACGCATTCTGGAGAACAAAACTGCATTGCTTTTGTTAAGTGACAACTGCAATGCATTCTGATCAAACCAAAGCTTTAGATATTTTAATGCAGATGTCAAATTCAAACAGCATTTTTGAACAGATTTGTCTATGGCATAAAAAACAGTCTGCATATTGTAAAATAAAAACATTATTAATATATTACTTAAAACAGCCTTTTCTAAATCATTGTATAGGTTGTATAATAAGGGGCTAAAAACTTGTGGGAGGTCTCTAGATGAGATTCCAGTGTCATCAGAATTTAATAATAGTTCTTTCAGTAAGAATATTAATTATAAAAGTTGACAGTCTAACTGAATATGTAATATATCAAGTTTCTGCTTAAGTATTGGCAAAGAAACATTATCATAAGCAGATTCTATGTCTAAAAAGGTTGCAAGTACAGAGTCATTTCTGGAAAAGGCTAAACGAATATCCGTTATAAACAAACTTAAACTATCAAGAGTACATTTCCCTCTTCTAAAGCCATATTGACTATCTGATAAATAGTGGTTACTTTCAATATACCATTCCAGATGTTTTTGATCAGATGTTCTGACAGTTTAAGCAGAACTGAAGATAGCGCTAAAGGACGGTAGGAAGCAATGTCAGATGGAGTTTTGTCAGGTTTTAGAATGGGGATTATATTTTGAGTCTTCCATAAAGCAGGAATATGACCAGATATCATAATTGAGTTAATGATATCTAAGAAATAGGAGAGAGATGTACTATCTAAGTGTGACAAAAAAGAATATGGTATTCCATCTTCTCCAGGTGCAGAATCTTTAACTTTTGTAAGTACTCCCTTAAGCTCTGGTAACGAAAATGGAGCATTTAATTTAGAGAAATTGTCTATATCAGAGGTAATTACAACTTTATCCAACAAAACTTTTTCAGAACTGAGGGAGGGGCTAACTTGTCTAGGAAACATTCAACCATATGAGGAGGAAGTACATTTGATTTAGAATCGTGGAATGCACTTCTAAATCTTCTTATATTATTCCAGACTATAGATGCATTCACATTGGGAGAAATAGATGAACAGAATTTCTTCCAACCTGTTAATTTCTTATCCCTTAACAATTTACGGGTAGTTCTGGATATATTACAGAAGATATCAAAGTTTTCCAATGTAGAGTGTAAATTGTATTGTTTTTCAGCATTTTTTCTTTTCCTAATAGCTTCAGTACATTCACTGTCCCACCATGGTGGTGAAGGTATTGTATTCTTAGAAGAAGATTTTTTAGGAAAAACTTCATTAGCAGCCTGTATTAATACTTCAGTGAATGCATTAGAGCAAATGGTTTCAGTGCCTTGAGTAATAATAGGCAGTGATGAGATTTTAGATGCAATGACGTTATTGAAAGTATCCCAATCAGCATTATTTAGCTTATATTTCATCCTTGGTTCATATTTTGGTAGTGGTTTATCAATAAAAGGAAAAGAAATAATAAGAGGGAAATGATCACTCCCAAATGACAGTGACAAGGGGCACCAAGTTGAGGGATGTTGCAAGAGTAGGTGAACAGATGGAAAGATCACCACACTATTTCCTTCATAAGGTGGATACGACGTGTAGGTTGGCCAGTATTTAATACACACAGGTTAAGGGTATCTAATATTTCTAAAACTTGGTGGCCATATGAATTGTTTGTTGTACTACCCCAGGACTGATGTTGTGAATTTAAATCTCCTAGTATTAATAAAGGTTTGGGAAGGGCAGAAAGAATATTATTAAGTTCATTAAAAATAGAAGTTGATGGATGAGGTATATATAAAGATACATAACAAATGTTGTTAACTTGGACAGCTAATATGGAAAAATTACTGCTATGATCAGGTATATGTGAATAAGGAACTAAATGTCGGACGAGTATAGCGACACCACCATACCCATCTGTCCTATTTTCTCTGAGACAAGCATACACCCGGTATCTTAAAAGTAGATATGGGTTTCAGCCATGTCTCCTGAAGGCACAAATAAAAGGTATATTTTTATTTAAAATATGAAATAATTAATTTTTTTTATTAATAATACTACGACAGTTCCTCTGGAGAACTTTGGCCAATGGGCCAATGTTGTTGAAGATTTGAAGAAGAGCACAGCGAAGAATTGAATAGAGAAGCAGCGTTGGACGGTACAATAGAATTAGACTCAGTCAGCAATTTAATTAAAGCCATGATTAATTCTGTAAATTGATTTGGTAAATTCTGATCAACTACAGATTTATAACCGCAGCCATCTGCAGGAGTAGGAGGATTATAATCTTTTATTAATTGCTTATGCATGTTTACATCATAACCATGTGATAATTTTGGAGATTGACGGGGTTTTTGTACAATGGTTTTTTTATATGATCTATTGATTATATTAGAAGATAGAGTATTTTGGGGTTTAGTATTATTTAAATGTTCCGCAGTTATGATAGAAGAATTAGTTTTAACTGTGTCAGCATATGATTTTGTTACAGGACCATGCAATTTGCTGGCTTCTGCATAAGATATACAGCTTTTAGCCATAGTTTCTTTTATTGCTTTTTGTCTCCATAGTTCCGGGCAGTTTTTACTGTTAGCTTGATGATCACCAAGACATAGACAGCAGCAGAAGTCTTCTTGCTGCGTACAGTTTTCACCTGAATGTCCTTTACTACATTTATAGCACCGTGGTGTAGAACGGCATTGATCCTTAACATGACCATATCGACAACAGTTATAACATTGTATTGTTGGGTATATGTAAATATCTACAGGTAATGAGTTGTAACACATAAATACACGTTTAGGAAGTATTTGACCATCAAAAGTTATAATAACAGTTTCTGTGTCAACAAATATGGATTCACCATTAATAATATTCTTACGTCTAATCCTTCTAACTTTAAGTATTTCTCCACAGCCAAGTGGGACAGAAATGTTACTTATTACCTCTTCAGGGGACCAGTTTGAGGGAACACCCTTAATAATTCCTATTCTAGTAAGATTAAAAGAGGGAACAAATGCTTTATAGTTCTGTTGTTTTAAACGGTCACAGTCAATGAAGGAATTGGCATCAATAAAATTAGAGAATGACAAAGCTAGTCTATTCCTACCAATTTTTTCAAACTACCATTAATAACATTTTTATAAGCACAATTTTTTAAGAGGCGACCAAAGGCAATTGGGTGTACAGTAATTCTGTCATCCGGCGAAGACTGCTCCTTTTGGATATGGACTACATAAGGTGCCGCATCACCTAATTGATAATAAAGCCTAGCTACTGATGGTCGTAACTGACTTGAACCAGCATTATCCATTTTATCCTCATTATTTGCACATGTCACAGGAGGTTGCTCGACCTTATTCTCATTATCCTCTATATTTGTACATGTATTAGAAGAAGGTTGATCACCTTCATTTACAACAGCGCATTGACAAGTGTTCTCTTGATTTTTAGAGTTTCCTTTAGAACCGCGATTTCTTCTTCGCTTTTTGTTACAGTGTTTACACACATGAGTAGCAGATATACGTTTTCGTTTAACTTTCAAATTCTCCACTAGGGTAAAAGAGCAATCAGTATCCATGGAATCATTTTATTATTGCTAATAGTTACGTGGAGGCCCAGAGGGCCTGTGCCGTTAGGATCCTCAGGAGGGTCCATATATAAATTAAATAATTATGACTTGCCTATGTTACAGCTACTATAATTACACTAATAAACAAATAAAATATATATAAAAGAGTGAAAATATCTACAATATCTAACTTAACTGATCACTATTAAATTTTTATTTAAATCTTATCAAAAAAACACGACCACCAAATTCTATGTTTCCCGCCTTTTTGCACTTTAACTTTTAATTTTATTAAATTGATTTCTATGAAACCATTGCATTTCCTGTCCATTATCAAGATTGTATCATCTATAATCAGAAAGAAAAAATCCAACATATGTTCATAGAAAAATCAATTTATTATTGTAATACTGTAAAGATCTTAGTTCTTTTTTTATTATTAAGTATTTTTACGGCCCTAGAAATTTCCTTTCTGCCTACTTAATACTGCCAACATCCCTTTAGCCCTTCTGACAGGACATAAAAACCACCCACACATTTTGCATAATAAAATATGGTTATTTTTAAAAAAGCTTTAAAGATATAATGTTGTAATCTTGTAACAAAAATACAAAAATTTGGAATACTTCACGATTATGAAATAAGGATGAAATATATTAACCGCTCGTAAGGTTCATCTTTTCTAAAGTTTTATTAAAAAATTGAATGATTTAAATGGGTGATAAGATTAAGGGTGTTTTCTATCAAAATTCTTTTAATTATCGATCATTTGTGATTTTGTGTTGAAAATATTCTAACTTTAAGTAGTTTTATAAGTTTAGTATGTATGTAATATAATAATATACGTGTTTCCAAAGCCATTATCCAACATGACCAAAGCCAGCCAAAGCCTTCCAAGATCCAAGTGAAAGACTGTGGATTTCAATCTGAACAAGAAGCAATACGCGATAGATTAGTTTTGGGCACGTCAGATTTAAAATGTCAAAGGAAATTGTTGGTAGAAGGAGACATGGAATTAGAAGAAGTCATAAAAAGATTGAGAATATCAGAGATGGATAAGAGGCAAGTGGAGGAGATCCAGAAAAAAGATAACCATGTGGATCAGGTATTGCAAAAACATCACAGTGAAAGGACAATCAACTGTAAATGGTGTGGTCAAATACATGTGGCAAAAATGGAAAAGTGTCCAGCAAGAGGAAAGGAATGTTCCAGATGCAAGAAACTTAACCATTTTGGATCTGTTTGTTACGAGATTGAAGCAGAATGTAAAAGCTGTAGAAAAACAGGAGCCACAAGGCTCTGAAGGAGAGTACTACTGTGGGTCAGTATACAATAGCAATAATGATAAATGGGCGCAAAAATTATTAGTAGAAAATAACATATATATTAAGTTCAAACTGGATACAGGTTCAGAGGTAGATTTAATTCCATACAATATATATGAAAACCTTTTGAAGAGCAAAAAGATTTTATTAAATAAATGTAGAATTACGTTACATGCTTATAATAAATCTGGTATTAAAGTGCATGGGCTTGTATTGTTAGAAGTCAAATTAAATTCTAAAACTTATTTAATTGAATTTATAGTCACAGAATCAGGTCTTCAACCCACATTAGGAAGATATACATGTGAATTGATTGGTCTAGTGCTAAGAAAGGATGTAAATGGAGTTAAGGATATTAAAGGAAACACAAACAGAAGTAACATTATCAATGATTATATGGATGTATTTACAGGGTCCGGGAGATTTCCTAAGAGGTATGGAATTAAATTGAAACCAGGATCTGAAGCTGTATCTAAACCTCCACATAGAGTACCTATAAAATTAAAAGAGAAGCTAAAAGTAGAGTTAGATCGCTTATGTAACCAGGGAATAATTAAGAAACAAGACGAACCCACAGAGTGGATAAATAGGATTGTAATAGTAGAAAAAGATGAAGATTCTATACATATATGTTTAGATCCTAAGTCCTTAAATAAATGTATACTAAAAAAATATTATCAGATTCCTACAATTAATGATTTGAAAACGAAAATAGGTAAATTGTGACTATTAATTGTCTAATAATACAGTCTCCACAAGTGCGTATCAGCCAGACTATAGGTACTTTATAAAAGAAAAAAATATGACTGTAATTTCATTATATATCTACCACAGCTTATTGATTATACACGATAAAAGCAATGCCACGGCACGGCAAAAGCACGCGAAATAAAGGCAATATACAGTTGCCTAAAACAAGACTTGGTAAAACTTTTAAACAAGGCATTAGTATACAAATCAAAATGTATAATAAACTACCTATGCAAATAAGAGAATTACCCACAAAACAATTCAAAACTGAAATAACATCTTTTTTTGAAAAACTTTATTATATTACCGAGTATCATATAAAACATCCTTTTTATAATAGATCTAAATATAATTATGACTACGAAACATATTATGTTATTAGTTATGTTGTGTACGCATTTAATTTATGTAATTTTATTTATTAATGTAATTGTAATTGGATTGAATTTATATAAATATGAATTACTGTATGTTATGACTTGCCATATATGTAAAGAAGTTTTTTACATTGGTTAATAAACGAAATATGAAATATGATCTCATATTGTATTATTTTACTGATAAAGGCTATAACAGAATAGCAGAGAGGGTGGACTCACTGCCCTCACTGAGTTATAGACCGTTTTGTCTCATTCATTCGTTTTAAATTATATTATTGTATGGGCAATAGTTGTATTAGTTTTTGTTTGAGACGAATAAAGATTATTACTATTATTATTGTGCACGACGCACCTTTTTGTATATTATTTATGTATTTTGTCTATTATTTTATATA